ACAATGTTGTATTAACAATTTATTAAACAATTTTATGGTGTTATCGCTGGTTGGCCTCGCATTACGTATACGCACTCGTGGCTTTGTGCGCACTCTGCAGCTGTAATGTAATTTCCGTTCTGCATTTCCGCCGGCCGTCGATCCGAAAATGCCGCAAATTATGCGTAATTATACCCGTTACTCGTAGAGTAAAAGGGTATATTGTATTCGTGCAAAAGTATGTAACAGCTAGAAGGAAGCGTTTCCGACCCTATAAAGTATATATATTCTTGATCAGGGTCACTAGCCGAGTCGATATAGCCATGTCCGTCTGTCCGTCTGTCCGTCTGTCCGTCTGTCCGTCTGTCTGTCCGTCTGTCTGTCTGTCTGTCTGTCCGTATGAACGCTGAGATCTCGGAAACTATAAAAGCTAGAAGATTGGCATTTTGCATGCAGATTCTAGGAGTTCCTACGCAGCGCAAGTTTGTTTCAAAAAGGTGCCACGCCCTCTTTAACGCCCACAATCGCTTATATACGATTTTAAAAATTTAAATATTTCGGAAAAGTAAAAATGCAGTTTTATTGTGTTTATCAATACCTATCGAAATGTAGAAGAAATTTTTCAAATCGGACCACTCGTTATAAAGTTATGCGTGATCAAAGTTTCTATCTCCATCTCCCTCGCACTCCCTTTACCTGAGTAACGGGTATCTGATAGTCGGGGCACCCGACTATAGCGTTCTCTCTTGTTTTATTTATTTAACGCATCAGTTTGCCAAGCACTCTCTGCATCATTGGGCGGCAGTTCATTTCCGCAGCACACACGCAGCAGCAGTGGCAGTTGCAACAGTTGCAGTGGTTGCACCAGCTGCGGTTGCCATTGTTCGCGTTAATCCCCGTGATTGTCGGCATTCGATTCTGACAATCGAATTTATCGGCAATTCGCTAATATATATATTTTTAATGCAGATTAAATAAAAAGAGTTTATTTAATACAACGATATTGAGTAGACACTCAAATTTAAAGTAACAAGTGGCTAGTTGACCTATACACTTTTGCAAGCTTAAAATACAATACCAATTTTTAAAATGAAATCACTTGTTTTTATACAATTATTTTTTTATTATTCAAAATGTGACCCAAGGTTATTATTAAAAGAACAACACAACAATGAATCCAATAATTTAAGCAAACCAAAGCTTAGAGATGTGATAACAGAGAATCCCCTTCGTGGTTTTATTATTTTAATACAATTTCAAATTTGAAATGCTAAATAGAAATAGTATACAACATTTTGAATACCCTTTTCACGGGCTCATTGATTTTTGGCAAAGCCCAAAAGTATGCCACGCGCTCTTCTATAATTAAATTCTAAAGCGAAACACTTTCCATCTCCCACTTTTCGAAATTGATGTGGAAAACGGCAGCCCGCTCACTCGTACACCTGAATCCTTTTCCCCCAGCCCACCGTTTTGCGTTGTCCTGATTCAGCTCGAAGCGAAATTGGCTTTAATTACGCGACAGAATTATGAAATTACAAAAATTGCGAAAGTAAGTAGCTGCCGTTGCTTTTCGCTTGAGCCAAATGTAATTGCGGCAATTTGCAGTTGCAGGCAGCGCTGCCAGTCGGCTAATAACGTTTATTAAAACCACAACAACATTGCTGGGAGCCGGGAGGGATTCAGGGACTTCCCCGCCAGAGCCTTCAACCATTAACAGTAAGCCGAACAGAGCGGGATATGCATACATATACAGCAGTCGCATGCGGCAACGTTGTGCAAATTACGCAAATCCTTGTGAAGCACATTAATGCGCACAATGACAATTAATCGCTGCAAATTAAAATGATGACAATGTGCTGGATTTTCCCATATTTCACAATCCCCCACCCGCCCACTCAGCGGAGATTAGGCATGGAAAACGAAACAAAAGTTAAATTTAAATCATAATTATTTATGGCTAAGCCGGCGGAGGCGGATAGTTCACATTGTGTTCTCCATTCAGCCGCCCCTCATCCCGATGTCCTTGCTCCACCCGCCGATCCTCGTGCCGCCCATCCAGACCCACGCCCAATCGCTCAATGAACTTGGCCGAACGGAATCCATTCTTCTGCAAATTCGAATGAATAATCAATAGATGATATGGAATGGTCTGAATATCCTACCTCGTAGTACAGAGACCTGGCCCGTTTGGCCGCTTCTGGATCGAAGTCCCACTGGGTCCGCTCGTGAAGGATCGGCTCACCAGCCACATTGTTCTGCAGCGTCTCGGTAATCAGTCGCAGGATAAATCCCTCGGTTGGTTGGCTAACCTGAAGCAGTAGTATCAGGACCACAGGTATCTGAAAATACAATTCACATATATATGTATGATATAAATATATATATTAGTCGATAACCGGTTAACATGTTTCATTTAATTTTTTGATAAGGCTTAGCAAATTAAGAAGTGGTTAAGTTAAGGCACATTTTGTGAACATGATATTTTTCTGATTGAATATAAACAAAATCAAAATATTGCCAATATTTACGATATGCTCTTCATTCGGTGATCCAATTAACCTTTCAGGTCTTATAACAAAATCGTTCAACAGCTTTATGAATTGCATAAAAACGAAATAGATTTTCGAAAGTTAAAATTTGTATGGCTTTCAGAACGGGCTTTGTGTTTACTCTTCAAATGACACATTTCACCTTAAGTTTTAAAATGGTAAAATCACATTGAATATATCACTATTTTATTTATTTTTGAAATGTACAAAGTTTTATAACAATCTGACGAATTTGCAAATACTTGTAGTTTCTGTATTGTCCAAAGTTTAATTTGCCTTATTAGTCCCGGCAATTCGAATGGCGTGTGGTTAACCAGGTGGAAGGCAGATAATTAAATTGCACAAGAAATTAATCGATCATCGTTTATTACTCATACGCCCTACACATTTCACCACTTAACATTAACCATCCTCCGCACAGCTTTTAACGATTTTATTCATGGCTTGTTTACTATGCTCAAATCACATTTCGGCACACTTACAGCGGCCATAAAGGCAAATCTCAGGTGCAACATTGTCGCGATTCGAGTCTGTTTTCCAGGTGAAGAGACGCCCGTGCGAGTCACTGGACCATTGATCACTGAAGACTACGAATCGCAGAAATCGCGTTGTTGCATAAAACGCAGCCAAGCGCCAACTCGAAAAATATTGAAAATAAAAATCAACCTCACGAGCGGCCACAAAATATGGCAAACCAAACAGACTTCGAAAAGTTACACAGCCAAAGCGAAGAGTGAGCCAGGAATTGAGAGAAAGAGAGAGGGACTGAGAGATTAGAGCCAAGATACAATTTGGCTTACAAATCTTAAACTTATTCGTAAATTTGTGTTAAGACATTGAGAAAAATACTATTAGTAGTTATACTGCTTAAATGGGTTTTAAATAATTATAAGTAAAACTTGTTAAAATGTCTTTCAATTCAAATTCCTATTTACTATGATTTATATTTTAAAATCCAATTTATTTGTGGTATAGATGTTTTTTGAATTATTAAATTTAATTCAGAAACGTTCGAGTAATTTGAATAATTTGTATAGTGTATGAATAGTTTTAAAGGTTTTTAGAGCCTATTAATGGAATATGATCTCCGATCTGTGGCATTGCGTTCAACCTTCGCACAGGTACTTCAAAAGCTGTCTTTGCCATACTCTTGTTTGGCTTTATGAACTGTTTTATTTTTTTTAGTTTAGTTTAATGACATCCCAAATTAGTTTTCATGGCAGACGGAACTAAGTACGCATATTCGCCAAAGGTTACTGCCATTTGCGGCAAGCCAAACATGCCGAAAGCAAACCGAAAAAAATAAAAAGGTGGAAAACAATGTTAAACAGAAATAGAAACCCTAGGAAAAATGCGAATGCAAATGCAAGGCAAAGAAAGTGCGCTCGAGCTGAGAAGAAATGGCACAAAGTCGCGACGTGAAGAAAGCAAAAACTGGTTGGCAGCTATTTTTTCGTCGGAGCATGACTCTATTTACGGCTGCAGAAGTTACATAATTGTCCATCGTCATCTTGATAGGAGGTGGTCATCCAGTCGGTCCACTACCACTTTGGTAATGTGGCCCCAATTCCGTTTTTGCCCACCTGAACAGCTGTCTCGGCTTACCGGGCTTCCTATCTCTTAATATTTCTCTTTGCAAACAAAAAAAAGAGTCTACGTGAGTCGACTCAGGTGGGTCTCTGATGCCATCGTTTTTGTTTATAAACATACATTTCCGGCAGTCTTAATTTATGTAAAAAAGCACAAAGCCTTAGTTTTTACAGGACTTTCACTTTCCCCGTGATATGCAAAATGTTGAGTATCATTAGATTAAGTAAACGGTGTATCTTAACCAAAACATTGGCTTAATATTAATAACAATTTAATGCTTTAGTCAGTCAGGTATTACCGAAATTAATTATGTTAAATTGACTGTTCTTACAATACTAAAAAGTAATTTGTTAAGTTTTAAACAAGTCTTGCTTGGTAATGTCAATTTATTTTATTAAGAAAACATTTATTGAAAGGACATAAGAAAAAATTCATTAATTAAAAGTCGATAGGTTGTATTTAATCTACTATATTAATTTGTAACTATATAGAAAATAAAATGAAACATTGCATGTCATTATATTTTATATATTTCTTTCATTGATTTCCATTAAATTGTATCCCAAAAAGTTTTACATTTTAATTTAAGCAACATTAGACTTCTCATTATATTTTCTTTTCTTTTTTGAATTTATTTATATTTTTACGTTGATTAAAAATACTTCCAATGTTTCCTTTTCAATAAAAGTGTTCGGGATATCATTATTATATTTCACACTATTAGGAGTATACCTTCATTTGAAGAGATAGAGAGGAAGTCTAACTCAAGGCCCAACTTTGAAGCTCCAACTCTCTTGCAAGCTTTCCGAATCTCATCGTGGAGCTCGGCTTTTGGCCGCTTGTCGATTCGACTGGCAATGCAATTCAGTTGGCAAACCAAACGCGATCGGCGAACATCTTCGCACCGCTCCGCCCTTCCTAGCTTTACGATCGGGAAATAAACAAATCCATTTTTTGAAAAACCATGGCCAGGTTGAACGCTCTGCTGCTGCCCGTAAGTTTCGGATCGTTTGATTTTCACCTCGATGGATACTAGGGTTTACCTCCCCAATTAACACGTATTTGAGCCCACTGACACAATTTCCGCCTCTTCTGCGCGAAAGTCGCACCCAAAAGAAAACCGTCTGCGATCGTCGGAAATTGTGACTTGAATTTCCAATGAGCCTTGGTCGGTTCTTCTTTCGAAATTCATTTGTTTTCGTCGGCCAGACAATTGACACATTTCCAAATCATATGTGGGGCAAATTGTAAGGCTCTCTCTTACGCCGGAGAGACCTTGAAAGCCACGATCCAGCGATCTTTCTCTTCCTCTATCTCCATCTCTCTCTCTCCGTCTTGGCCAAGTTGAAAGCCAAGCGAAATGTGTCATAATCTCTGGCCAACAAGTTGCGGCCAAGTTGCGCATCGTGGTTATTGTTGGTGCAATTGCATAACCAGCGTCATCAACCGTTGCTTGGTTGTTGGTTAAAGCGCCTGAAAGCGATTTCTTGGAAGTACACTTACTACCAACTTTGTGTAGCTGACACAGTGAGCTAATGAGCACTTGCAGCTTTTAATGTGATGTTTACCTTCCCTAAGCCGAGTTTTGCTAAATCGAACTACTTTCACAATGTTGTGTTTGCCATTACAAATTTGAATTATAGCCCGACTTTTACCAAAACCTCGCACCAGTTTTAATTCGCGACAATCACATAAAAGTGTTTAAAAAACGAGAATGTAATCTACCAACTTAAATTGTTTAATTTCTCCATAAAAATTGCGAATTTGCTATTGGTGCTGAGATATAATTATCACTCTTAAAGAACATTTAATTTTAAATTACTTGAACAGCTTAAAATATTATTTATGCAACTAAAAATTGTGTGTTTTCTCAACTAACAGAAGTGGATATACATATATTAAAATTAGGACAAACTAATTCAAATAAGTGATTTAACCAAGTTTAAATTAATATACAAGTGCTAAATAAACAAATTCCCTAGTTTTTGAGGCCACCTAATTAAGAGTCTTAGTTTAAAAGACAGATATAATGTAGCAAATTTTACATTTTGATTGGAAAATTGATATTTTTCGAGAACGAATTGTGATACACAATTTATTAATGGTTTTACTTATTTTCCAGCTTCTTTTGTTTATTGTAGCATTTGTGGCGCACACGTCGTTGGCCACAGTTCAGCCAAAGGCGCCAAACTTCCAGTACTTCGAAAGGTAGGTATACAAATTGTACTGAAAACTTATTGTTATACGAAAATCAATCAATTTATTTCAGGCCCAAGTACCGGTATCCCTATTATGATGAACATGGACGTGGAAAACTTCTCTATGGCTACGGTGGACCAGAATTGTACCAGTACAAAACGTACACGCCACTAGAGGGCATACACTAAGCTCTTTTTTTACTTTTTAGATGCATTGTAGCTTTTAATTTATATACTCCGCTTTATTTAAATTAAACGTTTTTTATTTACTTATAACGTATACAAGCTATGGCCAACTTGAAAAACAGATGGCGCTGATAGTATTATCAGACTCTTTCCAGCACTGTAATATAATATGGGCTCATTAAAATAGCTAAAAATAATTTGACTTTGACTTTTATTTAGTTTTATTATAGTTCGTCAAAATCAAAAAATTACAATATTTTTTAAGACTCTGGAAGTCATATGGAATAATGCCTCAAGGAATATACAATTTATGTAACATAAAAACCACTAGCATATTAATAACTTTCAGTATTTTGGCGGGAGAATTATTTTTAAATGAAATTTAGCTATAAAATAGCTTAAAGTCAACTAGTGTTTGCGTTCCGCTGTGAATGACATTGAGTTCGCATCTGTGTGTACTTGTGTTGTTTTTTTGCCGAATGAAATCAGATCTTGCATTTACTTAGAAAAATAAATAATATTTTATTAAATATGTCCCGCAAAGAAGCCTTGTCGCAGTTTATCAACCAGATTCACGGCCGTCCCGTGGCCGTTAAGCTGAACAACGGCGTGGACTACCGAGGTAAGGTCAAATAATTGGCAATAAACAAAAGCCGGCAATCACGTTTTTGTACCCGATTTTCAGGGGTTTTGGCCTGTTTGGATGGCTACATGAATATTTGCCTGGAACAAACGGAGGAGTACGTCAATGGGCAGCTAAAGAACAAGTACGGCGATGCCTTCATCCGGGGCAACAATGTCCTCTACATTTCCACGCAGAAACGGAGGGTCTGAATTCGTAGCGCCTAAGTTTATTCCGTAAATACAACACTCTCCACTAAAACGTAAACTTCCTAGGATTGCTTGAATTGGGTGCATCGGATTACCGGGGAGCAGCCAGTAGTTGGCAGCTTAATAACACCATTATCTTGCACATATCTTCTGGACTCTGTGATTAATAAGTAATGTGTGATAGAAAGACCTCTCTATACCTTGTTTGACTTGACTCTCAGTTTAAATCAAATTAAATCAGTAGATGTCTATTGTGTCTTCCTGAAAATTCATGTAAAGTTTCGTTGTTTAAGATTTCCCATGAATGATTTTTTCCATGACTTAATGCAATATTAAATGAATCTATTAGGTGTTCACTTCGAGTATATCACGAGTATACCATTAATTAAACATATAGAGCAATTAAACTATATAAGGATCATACAGATTATAGATTCAAGTCGAAAAGATAACTAATGACTAATATGGCCTTTGTTTAGCCCTTAAATTTCAAGTGAAACCAATAGGGTTAAAAATCGTGGCTTAAGTTTATTCCATAAATACGCTATCTAGAGCAATAAGGGTTCCATCCGCACTCAACTTGGATAGTGGGCAGTCCCGTACTCCCGCGGAATGGCTCCAAAGTGTCGGAGCTGGGGTACTGAATAGCCGGAGCCCAGGGCGGCGATCAGGCGCTCCCCGCGGTATCCGAACTTCCGCTCGTAGGTCGGACGCCATGCGCGACCAAAGTGCGGATCGAAGGGAATCTCGCTGGGCTGCTGGAACGGCGAGTTGCCGAAGAAGAGGCGGTCCAGGTAATCCAGTACCGCCTTCTTCTTCTGGAAGTGCTCCAGGAACGGATTGGCGGAGGCGGCGGTTCGCGGATCCTGCGAGGCCAGGTTCTTGAAGTATTGGAAGTTCACCAGGTCCACGTTGGAGAAGTCAAAGACCCCGGGCAGATCGTGCAGCGTGGCTCGCACCCGGACCATGGAGCACTGTGCAGCCAAGGGCAATGTTAATGCGGTGATTAGTGGGTGACGGGTGGCTGCTTTAATTGCCCACTTACCATTACGGCCAGTGCAGCAATTAAGACGTATTTGCACATTGCAATTGATACGATGATCGAAGTAGAAGAGACACCTATACGCTACCCCGCGCGGAATTCAACTGATTTGAATAAATTCGGCCAACTCAGTCGCAGTGCGTCCGGCTGTCCAGCTGCTCCAGCGATTTGCAATCGGTCCCAGACCCAGGTCTTGTATTCTGTTGTAATATCCAAAATTGCATTACCCAATCCCGAATGTCGCGGTGTCCACCGAAACTCAGCCAAATGTAACTGTTGTAATTAATTGATATGCATGTCGCATCAAGGGGCGTTCCAATCAAAGCCCTCGTCACAACGTCGGTGTCGTTCATTTGGGTTTCGGCCACCGCTGCTGGCACTGCCACTTTATTACTCGCGGGCGACCCCGTAGATCACAATCAATAGATCTTAATGAGTCTGCTTTGTTTTTTTTCGACCCAAGATCGGTGCATCACGCTGATCCCCTCGCTTGATTTTAAATGAGTGCAGTCTAGTCTGGTTGGTTTACTTTTATTTATTTGGGGCGAACACATAAGTTTAACATCGGGTTAGATTGTGAAATATTTAATTAACTTCAAATTTTGTCACATAACTTCCATGATAGAATTAAAGCGTGAGAACATTTTAAGTCTTAAAAATCTACTTTAATTCTATTTTTTTAAGAGTCATTTAATAAATAGTAGGTAATTTTGTATTTCCATGCAGAAATTAGATTAAAAATCAAAGAATCTGGAATAAAAAAATAACGATAACGTTTGAAAAAATAAGTTTGGCTTGATAAAATAATACTAAAAACCCATATATGTAGGTGGAATTCCAGGCAGACTTTTATTTTATGAACTTGGATATGCTTCGACAATCAGATAACCAACTTTATACGTATGCTATTTTTCTACCATCAAAAGTGTGGGTGTCACAGAATTTCTCGGATTTCTATATAGTCAGTACACATTTTACGATTATATTATGGTCTATTTCTAAACATTTTATGTTTGTGTTTTAAGCCGATTTTTTATTAGCAGCTTTAACGTATCCTGCAGGGCATGTACAAATTTTGTAAATTTTTTAGGCACTTCTAAATTTTGTAATAAAATTCCATCGTAAAACGAAATGTTTTCTTATTGAAATATAATAAATGTGTAGCTAGCTGATATCTCTAAAAAAAATAAAAAAGGTTAATTTACCTTTTTTTCCGCCTTTTCTGTGAGTTCAGGGCTCGTTTCCTATAACCAATCGATATGCAAATGGCAACCGTAACCCGGTGCGTAAGGCGATGGCCAAATTTCTATAGAAACTGAAACAAACAAATTCTTTATGCCAAGGAATGGCAGAATGCTCCTTCCCCACACAATTACGTAAAGTTTAGGTTTAGTTGGCTTTGTGAAATACGCACTCAACAAAACAGTTTTTAGGCCGCTGTCAGGGAACGTAACGAAAAAAATCACAATAGACACTTAATTGCAGTTGGTGAAAGGAGTTATTAAAACTTTGAAGTCTATATTCAGATTGTTGTGATCTAAACTTTAGGAATTTCAGTACAAAACCGCCAGAAATATGGCAACAAAGGCGGGAAAGGGCGATGGCAAGCAGGTCAAAGGGAAGGTAAGTACCAAAGCTACATAACTTATTTTCCCGAATACTATTTTTTATTTAGTTGGTACACTTTATACTCCGCCAAAGCACACATCCTTTCGCCTCGAAGGCTGGCAACGTAATGCCAAAACGAGGTCCTTGCTGCGACCCACGTTTATTTTTGTGTTTAAAATTTGTTTGGGCCTATTTGCGCCTACTTTTTAATAAGTTTGTCTGAAAGCTCCTGACGGAGCCAAGGCAGCTCTCTCCTTGATGGAACTTTGTCACGAAACATAATTTGCAATTTCCGGCCCATCCGGCCGGTGGAGTAGCCACCATGTGCGTGCCAAGCTGGGAACGTAAAATAGACGAAAAGTCGGAATCCAACGATCGGAGCGGTGCAATTTTGTTACAGCTACCAATTTATTTGGCCTGGTCTGGCCTTTTGCCGGGCCGGCTGGTGAGTGTCGAAGTCTCATCAGACCCAACGCAATAAAAGAGTCGATAAATCACTCACGTATACGACCCTAGGCTCACCTTATTCATTTAGATGCACATCAAAATAAATATGTATTTATGTAAGAACCAATCTCTGAGGTAGTCGGGGGTCTCTTCGCTGCTGTTATTCCCCATGTCCCCCATTCCCAGGACCTGCTAATCGAGTTGTGTGCAATTTGTTTATTCCACCTCATCCTGTTGTGACGTCAGGCCAGAAAGTTTTTCGCCTTCGTTACCTGAAGAGGCCGCTGACGTGGCGGACGTCATCACGAAAATGTCTTGGCTTTAAGCTAGAGTTCCTTTTGGCCTGCTCAGTCTTGCCTCGCCGCTCTCGCCGGACAGATTTGCCGGAGGAGAAAACCGGACACATTTTTGTTTTCCCGTGAGCCGAGCTCAGAGCTCCGTGGTCATCAGACAGTCTCGAATTCCTTCTTGCCCAAAAGCGATCCCAATTTCGGCCAGGATGTGGAAGCTAGCCAACAAGGCCATGGCGGTATATGACCATTAGATTGCATCTCCACTAGCAACTCTTAGCTAATTGAACTCCTTAGACCTGTGTGCCTGTGAGTGTGACTGCAGTGCGTTTCAAAATCCTTCTGACATCGCATAGAGATTTGGAATTGAACGAATTTATAGTGATTTTAACCATATAGTTTCCCCTTAAGTCCAATTTGTAACAGATTTTCTGTAACAAAAAATCTGTAAGCTTTGGAAAAGAAATCTTTAAACAATTCTACATTTAAACAATTATTTTGGTAGCAATAAAAATGGGATAACAAATAGTTTATTTTTAAAATACTTATTTATCTCTGTAACATCGTATATAAAGTAAAATAATACAGAGGGTTTTTATTGTATTGACATAAAGTAAACATTTCCCTTAATCGATTTAACTAAAATTTGTATAAATAATTCTATATACATGTTTAAATATCACAAAGTTCAATTATTCTGCTAAATCTGCTGATTGTGTTGATTGAACACGGTGCACTGTAAATAGTATAACGCAACGATAAACCTTAACCATCTATACATAAGTCTGAAGGTTCTGGAACGCATTGTAACCTAGGGATCTGTAAATACCACGAGTGCCTGTCTGTGTCTAATGTAAATAACCGATATCTTTCCATATGTACAACCTGTAAATACAACCTGTAGTCGTTTCTTCAAAACTAAAACTCAACTCGTAGTCGTAGCTAAGTAGGACAGATCGCTCCCCATCTCAAATCATAATCAGTCTAGTGTAAGCATCGCCATGTCAGAGGTGGCGAGTGCCCCAGGAACCGCCGATCCTGCGGAGGAGATCGCTAGCGACGGCGACTGGGATGGCGACGAGGTAACGCCTCCTTGGGTATTAACCCCAAAAATAAGCCCTATCAATCGATATTTGGATATACGTATCTCTTTCAAGTCGCATGCCGCATACTGCTTGGTTCTCCTTTCTCATGATCCCTCTCACCTGCCCCAAATCCAGCTTGCACCAAAATCCAAAAGTGTCAGATGTTGATGATATCAGGTAAGTGGACACCACCCAACCAGATTTCCCTTCCCAGCTTTGATTCTTTTGTGGCACCATCAGTGGAACGTTGCATGCACCACACACTCCGTAAACAACACACCCACGAATTCAGTGATTCAGTCATACTGTTGATCCAATTTCCCCAGCTGAGGACCTCCAAGAACAAGGTCGAAGGCGGCGGGGGCGGTGGTGGCGACGCCGATGACTTCGAAGCCTGGATGAAGTCCCGCCAGCTGCTCAAGCCCGATGACCAGCTGGATCTCACCGAGGCGGAGCTGGGCGAGGAGGTCACCAAGGTCCTGACGCCCACCAACACCAACGTAATCCGCAACCTCGTGGTCTATAGCTTCAAGGAGGGCGAGTTTGTCCTGGCTCCGGTGCCGGGCAACACGGTCACCCTGATCGCCTTCGCCGGAAATTCTCTACACGTGGACTCGGAAGAGGGTCGCCGCCAGATCGAGGAGTCCGACGAGATCGGCTACCCGCTTCCAATGCCCAACTACACTGTGGTGGAGCAGCGCGAACCCGAAAACGTCGATGGAGAGGAGGGAGAGGGCGAGGAGGACGATGATGGCGCCAAGTAAGTAGCATGTGGGATCCAAAAACCTTGAATTTATAGTTGTATTTCGTTAAGTACAAGCTTTAGGGTTAGAAAATACGTAATAAAGTTAAAAGCCATTTATCGGCCGTAGGAATATATTTATGTCCCCTATTAGGCATAAAAAGTGATATTCAAATCAATATTAAATCATTTTTTAGGCACAATTATCATTTTTCTTCTACTATTTTAGATAGAATTTTCCTTAGTCAAAAGTATTATAGATTATATTGTATAGTTAAACAATTCACATAACTTTAGGCTATCTTGAAGAGTAGGGGTTGGAGTTCTACGAATTTTAGTTACTTTCATTTAACATTTTAAATTTGACCATTCCCAATTCCTTAGCGCAAAGGACGCCGGCGGGGAGGAAGAGGAGGTTGAGGAGGAGGATGACGAGGAGGCCAAGGGCACAGAGGGTGATGAAGGCGAGGGGGGGGGGAGGGAGAGGGTGGCGCGACCCGGGCTGAAGACGAGGAGCCTGCCCAACCTGTGGCGTCCGCATCCTCGAAGAAACGGAAGCTGATCAACCAGTTCAACTACTGCGAACGGGGTGCCTTGACTTATACAAATCCCAAGAGGGTAAGCATTATCTAAGTGGATATTAACAAAATATGCCCACTTTATTCGTATTAATTTAATATCTATTCCATTTTCTATTTACCTTCCAGAGTGTGGATACCCAAACCATTCCTCCGCCCCGCTCTCAGTTCGGGGCCAATGTGCTGCAGTGGGTCATTTACGATTCCTATATGGAGAATTTCGAGGAACAGCAGCGGGATGGCGGGAAGAAGGAGGACCGCAAGCGCGGCAGACGGGAAAAGAAGTTCCGGGATAAGTCCGCAATTGCCGAGCAGCTAAACAAGAAGTATCTCAAGTGCTGGCAAATCCTCGAGCGCATGATCAACCAGAACATCTACGACGACATTGCCCACGACTACCGCTACTGGGAGGATCCCGCCGACGAGTTCCGGGAGGGTGAGGGCAACCTGCTGCCGCTTTGGAAGTTCCAGTACGACAAGACCAAGAAGATGAACGTCACCGACATCCTATTCAATCCGAGCTACTACGATCTGTTTGCCGTCTGTTTTGGATCGCGTAAGTTCTTCAGTGTCCATATCGTGGCTAAGTCTTTTTCAAATATTTAAGTTACTGATATCATTTTGAAATCCTTTTTATTTATCCCAAAATCCCTAATAGATGACTTTATGAAGCAGACCAACGAGGGTTACTTGTGTCTCTTCACCGTCAAGAATCCCTCATTCCCGGACTACATAAGTAGGTTCTATATAAACTTCTGATATAAAGTTATTGATTGTTCCCTGTTCCAATTCCACAGTTCAAACCGACAGCGGGGTAATGTGCTGCGACATCCATCCGACTTACCCATTTCTGGCAGTGATCGGACTTTACGACGGCAATGTAGCTGTGTATAACTTACGGGAGGACTGCAAGGAACCACTCTACGTGTCCAAGGGAGTCAACTGCAAACACGGCGAGTGCGTGTGGCAGATCAAGTGGGGCCTCGACATGACCGACGGCGAAGTAAACTTCTTCTCCGTTTCTTCCGACGGGCGGGTCTTCAACTGGATCCTCATGCAGAACAAGCTTTGGGTCACCACCATCATCACGTTGTACCGCGAGAACGGCCTTGTGGATGGACCGGATGGGACCAAGGTCAGCTTGAAGAGCGGTGGGTCGTGCATGGTGTTCCATCCTGTTGACAACAAGGTAAATTTTTGAGAAATATCAAAAAAAATTTATATTTTCATAATTAACTTTGTTACTATACGAAATACTATACGAAATGTGTAAAACTCTTCCAGAAGGTTTTATAGTCATTATCTATCCTTAGGAGTATTTGTTTTTATGCTATTTACTTGCTTAGCTGTCTCATTTAAATTTGGAAATATTAGATCGTTTTTATAATTATAATTTTTTCAGAGCACTAAAAACTGATTTTATTTCTATTCTCAAGGTTTTCCTGGTGGGCACCGAATGTGGATACATCTATAAGTGCAGCACGGCGTTTAGCTCCAAGTACCTTATGACCTACAACGCCCACAACATGTCCGTCTACCGCATTGATTTCAACCGCTTCAACAGCAACATCTTTGTGTCCTGCGGCGGCGACTGGCGGGTTAAGGTTTGGGAGGATATGCGGGCAGATCCTCTTTTCATCTTTGATTTGGGCGCCGCAGTGGGTGATGTGAAATGGGCTCCCTACTCGAGCACCGTGTTCGCCGCGGTGACCACCGAGGGCAAGGTGCATGTTTTCGATTTAAATGTGAACAAGTACAAGGCCATCTGCGTTCAGGCCGTGGTTCCGAAGCGGAAGAACAAGCTCACCAGACTTTCCTTTAACGAGAAGCTCGCCTTCATCGTGGTGGGCGATGAAAAGTAAGTACCTTAACTGATATTGCCCTAAATATGTGCAATTCCCTAAAAAGTGTGAAGAAGGACACAAGGTTGGATTGCATATGAAATACATTCGAACTTTAATAGCACCAACAGGCAAGATAGAAAATCGTGTCAGACTTCGATAAGTGATTTCACCTGTAATATTTTTATATTTTGTCAGTAAAGCAAGTGTGATTTGCAAGTTGCAACTATTTCGAGCGAGTGATGTTGGACTTGCATAATAAAACTATTCTCTGGTTTTTAAAGCTATTTGGATTAAACTTTCTGCTTGCCTTCATGTCAACAATTTAATTAACTTTGGTATAAAGTTAGGGATATGGAACATTGACATACACAATAATTCCAAGATCTGTTTTTGTATAAAAATAATTTTTTTTAATCACCCCAAGTTTATTTCATTGCCTTAGAAAGTGTATCCTTTATTCTTGTCTTATCCTTATATCTTACTAATTTAGGGGTTACTCGTTTGCCATAAATTAGAAAATTAATCCTTATTCCTTATTTGAAGGGGAGTAACCACATCGTTGAAGCTGTCGCCTAATCTCCGCATGATGGTCAAGCCGCCGAAAAAGCAGCTCTATCTCGACCAGAACACTCTGCAGATTGGCAAGTTGGAGAAGCTCCTTTCCCTGGTCCGCGAGCTTCCAGAGGGAAGTGTGGTGCCCGATGCAGCCACCACCGTGCGAAGCTAAATTTAAACCTGATCCAAGATAGTTTGATGATACCCAGCAGAAAAACACCATAGTCTGATTGTATGTATTATATTTTACACATATAGATCTGCTGGCTCTAAAAGAATGTTGATTCATCCGCCTTATGTTACGTTATGTTCCTATCAATCTAACAAAAATTTACTATCAACGTGCGGCTGAAGTCAACCAACATAAGGAACTCAGAAGCAATGTAAAAATCACAAAATTGTATATATGCTTAGAAATCAAATAAACGTTGAATAAAACTGTAGTCAAATCCGTTAAAAGGTCTGGTGTTCAACAAAAATATTAGAGGATTGAAGGATCTTAAGGCCTCTTATTTAAATCTCCAGACCAAAGTTAATATAAAATATTGTACTTTTAATGCTTATTCCGTGTTAATCCAATTTTTTTGGGTTCTCCAGTTTGATATTTTAAGGAGTAAATATCGAGCTGGAGAACCCCACAGACCTGCTATTTAGAACTGAACTGAGAAATTACACATCATCACCGACAGACTATTAACCTTAAATCCATAAAAATCACTATTGTAATAGTACGTAAGTTACTAATACAATCGTGATTATTATGGAGTAACTGGTCAAGAAAAAGGCAATTGCAACAGGTTAATAGTCTGTGACAATGTGAAATTTATATTATATTTAATCAGCGCTCAGCATACAAATGTCTGGACCCAAAAATCGAAATTAATTTTCACAGACACTTTTTGTTAAGTTCATGGCTTTTTGTGTTGTAAAGACGGGCTTTTAGACTAACTTTGTTTAATCTTCATCCGCATCCAAGTCAGCGGACCTGACCTTGATGTGCTTTTCCTCCAGATACTCGAGCACATTGTTGGGACACATTACGCTTTTGCCCAGGAAGAGCACCGTGGACATCGGATGGAGGTAGTCCGCCGAGAAGGTTGTGGCCTTCCAGCCGAAGAATCCGTTGGCCCGAGCCTCCGTTCCCGTGATGGAATAGGGCAGCAGATTGACGCCCACCTGGTTTGGCTTTGAGAACTGGACGCGGAAATAGTGACCATCGGTGGCCTTTATCCAGTAGAATCCCTCGTTGTCCACGTACGGCTTGCTCTGCGACTTCTTCATCGCATTGGATCGCTCCAAGTCCTGGACGTTGAAGCTGATGTCGATGTCGTAGGCATCCGGAGAAAGGTGGTTCGTTTCGATGGCGCTCTGCAGGGCCCGGTTGTCCAGCCAGTAGCGGATCCCCACGTTCTCGAACTCCTCCAGGACGTGGTTGAATGTGGTCCTCAGCTTGTCCAGGCAGCAGGGTGGTGTGTGCTTGCCCAGGTAGGAGTAGTAGGGCCTTTCGTTATACACACTCCCGATGCAGGACTTGGTTGTCCGTTCGCAGCCGAACAAATCGATGTCGGTGATGAGGGGCAGCGAGGTGTTCGAGGACGAGAACTGGCCATCCAGGACCAAGCCGTGGCCCTGGCCCCACACCTCCCTCGCCTGTGCCTTTCCGGGAACCCTGTAGGCCCGCCTCACGATCCGCTTGATCTGCAGTTTCTTGTACATCTCCCGGAACTGCCGCCTCCGCAGATCCATCCTCCGCTGTTTGGTGTGAAACGAGGCGAACAGACGTCGGCCCTCCTGGAATGCTTGCGGGAACACAGTGGTCTGAAAGGGTTTTGAATATTATTTTGGGCTACAAAAGGATTTCAAGGGAATAACTCACCGACAAATTGGCAATTTTGGCCTGCATGTAGAGCATTTCCGGAAAGGGCAGGGTAAAGGGCTCGGGCATCGCTCCCAAAACGGACGCATCTAGCAGGATTGCGTGCTTCTGCAGGAACTGGTTACAGAAAATTATGGTTTACGTTAAATTAAGTAGACAATATTTAATTTATGAAATCTGGTTTTCTTGCATATTAACCTTGCATGATATTTCAGCATTTTATTAGATATCTACTTATCTCAAAACTTCTAAGCCGATAACTGCTAAAGAAAAACTTTCAAAATATTATTAATTTTCAGCCATATTCAGACTAAATTCCCTCACTCAAATTCTCTTTAAGTAAAATTTTAAGTTTTATTGGCAATAATGAATAAACCGAAGACTCCAAAACTTTAATTGTTATTGTGTTTTTTCGTTTTATGCTAGTTTTTAATAAGAGAAACATGAAGTGCGTAATACTTGCTAATCAGAACGCTTTGATTTAAATGAAAGTCCGCCGAAAATTGTTTAATCAATTTTGTTATTACTTTAGGGGCCTGACTTTGCTATGCTTTCTTTATATTAATATCTGCACTCACCAAATCACATCGCTTGCTGTCATTGGTGGCCACTAGCTCCAGCGTCCAGTCCGGTAGATCTAGGGTCATCCTGACGCAGGTGCTGAAGGACTTGAGGTTGCCGGCGAAGGGGACCAGCACCATCCGGCGTACCGGCTCCTCCGGCGGAACGGGTGGCCGCTGCTCCTTGGGCTGTCCTGGCAGCCCCAGGGAGTTGATCTCGCGCAGGATCTTCTGCAGGAGGTTCTTGCTGCTCAGTCGCACACCGTCCGGCATGATGAGGACGTACTTGGTACGAATGGCGGCCAGGGGATTAAGCTCCTGCCGCGTGTGCCGCACGTCAAAGGCCAGACTCTGGAACACCACGGAACGCTCCTCTCCAGCGGTGAGATTCCGCTCGTAGTTGACCGGCGGATAGGCATACTCGGCACCGCCGTCTTGGAGCACCATGATGGGCATGTTGGGTATCACGTCCAGGATGCTATCGATGCTGGCCCTCAGATCCTGCTCGAAGTTGTAGTGGCCGTAGAATACAATGGTGATGGACTTCCGGATGTGTTTGTTGGCATTGCGCACCTTATCCTTGGGCGATAGCTTGGCCGGCTTTGGCGGCTCCTCCGGTGCAGCTGATTCCCCAGAGAGCGCTCTACTAATCCGGCGCCAGAGCAGCGTGTTCCAGGTGTAGTAGAAGAACACCAGATTGGCCAGCAGGAATCCCAGCAGGAGCACCTTGACCAGACGCAGCCGAAACACCTTCATGGCGGACGGCAGGATGTGCTCTTGATTCTTCTAGCGGTGTGTGTATCTGTATCTCAATTTGCTCCCGGGTATCTACACTGCATCTACATGGCTAGCAGGGTAATCTCGTTCCTTGGTCCTCACTAGCTTCGCCTCCAGATCCTCCCGCAGATGGTTATTCATTCTCAAGTTCCAATTGGTTTGGCTTAAGGACTCATTTAACTCAGTATTTCCGCTTATGAAAACTTTGTTTTTGTGCCTATTCCTTTTCGTCGGCTATGCGCAAATACAGATTTCCTCCCCCTGCGGAAAAGCGCTTTCAGCTCGAACAGCTGATGGCCCCGGAGCTGGGAAAACGGATAGAAAGCTTTTTCCCAGGATAAGTGACCGTATATCATCCCGTTTTCAAAAGCTTTTCACGCCAAATGTTTTTTTTGTGTTCTTAAAAATGTAAGTCCCTAACATTTATTTAATCAATTTAATATTAAATTAGATGAAATCTTTTCTTTCAAAAATTCATTTTTTATCAGCCCATTGAAAATTGTAAAAATTACCATTTGAAACCGCCTCGTTTTTAAACTTAAATACATTTGTAAAATGGGTAATACAAATGTAACAAATATTAATATGAAATATATGTATACTATTTTTTATCTCCATCTCCGTTAGAATGATAATTTTCAATCATTATTATTAAGCAATAAAAAAAAATATTAAAAAAACATTATTTTAATTAAAATAAAAATTGTCATAATTTAACATTTTCAATAAAATGTAAAATCTTTCAAAACAGTAAAAGCGATTGTTTATTTAATTTAGTACAGTATAAAATACTCTTCAGAGATCATTTTTAACAGGGTTATTCCAGAAATCTCAAGATATTTTCTAGACGGTTGGTTTGAAAAACTTCTCACAAATTTACAAATTTTTCTAATCCTTTGGCAACTGTCAGATGGTTATAAAATGTTAACTTAAAGTTTAAGTATTGGAATGTTTTATTTTTAAGAGGACTTTGGTTGGAAGAGGTTTGTGTGAAACCCCTGTAGTACTGTAATACTGATTTGAAAGAGATCGATTTTAATAAGGATTTGCAAGGCATTCAGAAGATTACTTTCCCATGCCGGCGAAAAGCAATGGGAAGGGCACCTCGTCGGTGGCGAGGATCTGGGGAGTGGGTGGTCGAGCCTCGCCTTCGGTGGTGCTATTTAGCCAGTAGGTGGTGACCGTGCCCTTGCCCTTCAGCTCCACATCGCCGCGATGCTCCATCTGGAAGGTTCCGAACTTATCCAGGATGGCCTTGGTGGCCGAGGAGACGTGAATCTTGCCGGGCTGTCCGGTGCTCTCCATCCTCGACGCCGTGTTGACCGTGTCCCCGAAGAGGCAGTAATGCGGCATCTTCTTGCCGACGACGCCGGCGCAAACTGATCCCGAATGCATCCCTATTCGAATCTGGATCTTGTACTCCGGCTTATGGCGCAGATTGAAGGAACTGACGGCCTGCAGAATGTCCAGCGCCATCAGAGCAATCTCGCGGGCATGCTTATCCCCATTGGGCTCTGGCAGTCCAGAGACCACTAGATATGCATCTCCAATAGTCTCTACCTTGTACACATCGTAGAATCCAATGATCCGGTCGAAGGTGCTGTACAGATCGTTCAGGAAGTTCACCACATCCATGGGACTACTGCGGGCACAGAGTTCCGTGAAGCCAACGATGTCACTGAAGTATATGGTCACGCTGCTGAACTCCTCCGGCTCGACGAGATCGCCGGCCATGAGTTGCTGGGCCACAGGACGCGGCAGGATCTGGTAGAGCAGCTCCTCGGTGCGCTGTTTTTCCAGGCTTAACTGGCGCGTTTTCTCCTCGACGAGGCTCTCCAAATTATTGGCATACTGTTCCATGCGGTTTAGTAGATCATCCATCAGATTTTCACAGAAGCCCCTTAATTAGTTTGGCGACAATCATAAATACATACATGATAGGTAACTCTCTTACAAGGACACTCACTTCATTATGGTGCGAATATTACTGCGGATCGTGGAAAACGTGGGCCTTTCCTCTTGGTTGTCCGCCCAGCACTTCTCCATCAGTTCTAGCAGATCCGGCGGACATTCGCGTTCCCGGATAAGCGGCCGGAATCCGTTGCACTGCCGCACTTTGTGCAAGATCGTATGCACATCCATCTGCTGCCGAGCCTCCTGGTACGGTCCGCCTCGGTTTACAATCTCCTCCAGAATTATGCCAAACGAGTAGACATCGCCACGCTGCGTGGCTGGACAGCAGCCCGGAATGGACGTCAGTGGCAGGAGCTCGGGGGCGATCCACAGAAGCTCTGAACCAGAAGAAATAAGATTAAATTATGGGGTTAAGATTCCGAGTTTGGCCCCAAAAATATTATTTTAAAAATGAACCTATAATTTGGAATATGGCGTTTTTAATTATTAACTGGCGAGTAAATTGTTATTTTTGAGTTTTTTAATATTATCGAGTCGTATGCTCTTGCAGCAATTATTAGGCTTACTATACAATTGTAACAGTGTAAACAAAGCAAAAGCCAATTTAAACACAATACAAAAATAAGCTTCTCAATTTTTCTCGTAATCTACTAGGAAGGATATATTTTTAAGAATGATATGTTTATTACCGATATGAATTTATAAGATTTTTAGAATTAGTCCTTTTTATAAGATTCTTAGGTTAGGAACTCTTTGGATATTGAAAGAAGAATTAGTTCTTTCAATATCCAAAGAGTTCCTAACCTAAGAATCTTATAAAAAAGGACTAATTCTAAAAATCTTATAAATTCAGGTCGGTAATAAACATATCATTCTTAAAAATATATGATATATGAAGAATTAGTTCTTTCAATATCCAAAGAATTCCAAAACCCTTGGATTCCAAGGAAACAAGTATATTCAAAATGGCCCGACTCACTCAGATAATAGTTTTGATCCCGCACAAAATCCGAGGGTGTAGTCAGCGTTCTCAGCCCAAAGTCGGAGATTTTGAGGACGAATCGTCCGTCGATAAGGCAATTGCAGGACCTCAGCTTTCCGTGGGCGGCAACATCGCTGTTGTGCAGATAGTTCATGCCCTTGACGATGTCGTGGATGAGTGACATGCGGAAGTTCCAGTCCAGTTCGATGGCCTCGTTCTCCAGCACATCCTTCAAGCTGCCCCTCGAGCAGTATTCGGTCAGGATGAGCACCGTTGGCCGGGGCAGGTCGATGCAGGCACCCACGAACCGCACCGTGTTCTCGTGGCTCACGTCCCGGGCCTGCTTAATCTCCCATAGCAGCTGCGGGGTCAGATCCACCTTCTTGACGTTCACCTTCTTGATGGCCACCCGCTCGCCCTTGAACTGCCCGATGGTGGTGTACACCTGCGGCGGCAGCGAGGTGAAGCTGGCAATCGAGGCGCGGCCCGAGTGGATCCCAAACTGCTGCAGCGAGATGTTCTCCACATCCAGACGCTGCAATCCGCCCTTGGACCCGAACATCCCTCCCATCTCGATCAGGACGTCGTCGGGTCGAACGCGCCAAGACATATTGTTCAGCTCCTTGCTGAGCTTCATTTGCCTGAAATAGTGAAATAGGTTTAAAATTTAAGGTTTCTGGTATAAAAACTACCATCAAGAGGGCCTTTGCATTTTTTGGCGATAGGAATGAAACTTAAATATATTTAAAGACCAAATTACATTTCTCAAAGTCAATCTTTTCCCTAAGAACATTTAAAGGCTTGAATAAAATGTGTATATAAATTATAGTTAAAATCCAAAGGGTGATACTTAAGAAAAAAATCAAACACTTAATTATGGTTAATAATCCCTTACTATGATTTTACAAGATGTTTTATCTTAATATTACCATGACTAAATAATGCAGCTCATCCTTAATATTATTCTTAAAGTTGATTTTTAGTGACTTACTTTTGAAGAAGGCAAATAACCAGAAAAACGAGACCCAAGAAGAGGCCCAAGCCAAATAAGGTGTACATAATAGTGGATACTGTAATTAGCAAGTGATAAAATAAATCCATAATATTATTAGGTGTGTCTTACCATTTCCAAGGCAATCCGTCGAATTTCCTAGGAAACCACAGGGAGGCACATCCGGCGGAGGCTCCTCTCGTCCACCTGGCCAATGAATCTTCTTGCCATGGACAGCTGCATATTCCCTTTAAAAAGGAGGTCTAGTTTTGGGAAATGTCCTTTGCTATTTAAATTGAATTTCTCACTTGTGAACGCCGGAGTAGTGGGCCACAACCGAAAACTTCCCGTTAATGGGATCCAGATCCAGAATGGAGTAATCCGCATCCCGGTCGCCGTTATCGTCGATTCGCACGTGCCCAGTGATGCCCTCGAAGGTGCGGTTCCACATTCGCCTCGTGATGTTTACCCCATCTCGAATGTCGCCCCCCTCGGTGAGGGTCTCATTCAAGGCCATTCCCAGCAGGTAGACGCCGTCGTAGAAGGCTCCGATGAAGAAGTTCACCTCCTCGCCCTCGCCGAAAGTGTAGTTGTAGTCGTAGAGAGCGTTTTCCCGCACATTGTCTGCAAAGTCCTGGAACTTGGGACTCGTCGGCTGCAGTAGGCTGACCCGCAAGAGGGCCTCATACGCCTTGCGGGCCTTAGCATCGTGCTCATCCTTCATCTCCCAGCCCTTGTCGCCCCAGTAGTCGCTCTGGAAGATCTCGACGTCCAGGAAGACCCACTCGCCGTTGGTCATGCCCAGACTGTGAGCCGCTAGCATGAATTTCCTCACCAAAACTCCGCGAACTGACAGGATGACAACTGAACAAGGTGGAAGGCAGGGAAAGTTTATCATCAAACGATTATATGGGAATGGGCCTAAACTACATTATTTTGACTAATTTTCAATCAGGAAGGTAAAAACTCAAGGATAGGCATCTAACTTCTCAAACCAATTGATAAAAAGATTTTGTATCTGATGCAAATAAGTCTGTCGGAACTGAACAAAATTTCCAATTAACTATTTAGTTGAAAATTAGTAAAACTTCATCTGAATGGGTGCAAGCAAACATTGAAGTTTTTAAAAACATTATAAACTAACAAAAACAATTGTAAAAGCTTTACAAAACTTAAAAAACACAAGGTCATACAAATCTATATTCAGTAGTTTTTAAAATTTTTATTGTAGCCATTTATTTTTGTTGGGCTATCATTGTTTAGGGCCAGAACAATTATAAATACATATTTGTAATTATAAACCCTTGTGTTTTTCTCGAAGTCTTCAAGCGAATACTTTTATCGACCAGTGTTTAAAAAGATACCACAAAACCCAGAAAGTGGTATACAAAGTGTGTATTCATGAAGCCCCAAATTTACCTCTTGCATACATGCTGGCATCCCTAAGATAGTTCTCGTAGATCTCCTCTTCGTTGCCGTTGAGCTCCCTTACAAAGCTCAGAAGCCCCTCCTGGCGCAGTCCGTACTCCAGGTTCTTGCCCACTGTCCACGAGAAGAGCTCCGATCTGTCCACCAGAAGGGCCACATGCTTCCAGTGGAACTGCCGAAAGACGCTGGCAAAGACGAGGATGAGCCGGCACTGACAGTAGGACATCCTGGTAAGGGTTGGGTACTTCGATTTGTCCTTGAACATGCCCTGCAAGGAATAAGAGTATCGAGAGGGCTAGTAGCCCGTTGCTCAAGCCAGGAGTGGTTCAAGCCGGGCAAATGGTGTGGACTCAAACAAAACTCCATTAAATAAATTAAATTGGCCTTAAGTTTTTTTTTGAGTTTGTTGGATAATAGAGTTTTATAAAATGTGCAGGTATTACTTATCAAAAGGGAAAAGACTGGGTAAAGATTTTCTTTAAATCATTTAAGTGTCTTTAGAACAATGATGAAATACTTACCGTATTCTCGTTTTTCCACTTATGGATCCTTCCCAAGATTCCAGAAGTCACCGTGAGCTCACCCTCCGAAGAAGGGGGCTGGCAGCAGGTGGGCGAAGGGGAAATGCCATTTGTCAATAACACGGGAAAACTTAAATGCAAATTAAAGAGCAAGCCGAAAACCATTTAATTGCCAATGTCAAGAGTACGACCACGACAATTAAGACGGCTAAATGTGATTGCTTCTGGCTGTGAGTGGGGGGATGGCAGATATAGAGCCCGGATGTGGATTAAGCTCAAGCTTGGGTTTCCGTATTCCACGGGGTCGGAGGCCACATAATTGAATGCGGCGTGCTGCGTCGCCTGACACGCGACTCGAGAATCCAGTCCCATCCTCACCTGATCCCCCATGCCGGTGATGATGGGGGTGTTCCAATAGGCGGCTAGACGTGCAACCGGCTCAAGGGCAAAGGCGCAGGCTGGTCCAATGAAGGCGATTACGTCGTCCTGGAAGTGCATGTCTGCAGCAAGTCCTGGAGCCCGGGCACCCGAGCAGGATGGGTAACTAAAACGAGGAACAATGGGTTGGCAATGAAAGTGAAATATGAAAAACAAGCTTCGGAGAAGTTTTAAATACGACGATGTCTGTTCAATCAGTATTTAGAGATATTTCGTTAAAAATCATTTATAATCCTGAAATCCTAAATCCTAAATTAGTCTATAAACATAGGTTTATAGGTCTACATTTTCAGAATTGGTATTCTATTTTAATTAAATTAAAATTATTTTACAAGGTTAAAGCTATCTTCAGCAACAGTTACTTTCAGGTTATTGATTACAATCTTAATAATAATATATTGTATAAGTGAACTTACAAACTTATGATACGTTCTAAACTTTGTAAATAAACTGCATAAACTAGAATACTGTCATCCAATTTTGATAAGACTAAAAGAGTCTTTCTACATAAATATACCCACTTAAGAACTAATAAAGGTCGATCCACTAACCTGCCCTTCTTCTTCAATAGCGTTATGTTGTGGGGCCTTAAAAACACCTTGTTGATCTCTTCCAAGGCCAAATCCACAGCCGGTCCACAACGTTCCAGATCGAATGGGGAATCTGGTAATGGCCAATGGCCAGTTCATCATCAAATCATGAACCAAATGACTCACTTACCCAAATGAGAAGCCATAAGTACCCCAACATTGTAGACACGCATTTGGCCCATTTCGCCCACTTCAGTGTACCTAGAAAGTTGCTGGGACTTGGCCTCCCTGCTCCTCTCGAACATCTTTATCTCTGGCCCCGTATCATTGCCATTATACCCCGCCATCGATGTCGTGGAATCCAGACTCAGATCCTTATTTACGTCTTCCCAGGAGATCTCATTGCGCCGGGGATTGGGATGGGCACTGAAGGCACCGGTGGACAATAGGAAGAAAACGTGGATGCTGATTCGAAGCAGGTGCATTCTGAGGAGTTCCCAACTATGTAACTGTATTAAGAGAAATATTCTATCCAATAGAAGCGAACCATTATCAATTAAATCTGTACTAAATTTTTACTTATTTATACATTTGATCAAACAACGAAAACACATTGATTTTTGTACTATTTTTAAGATTCGTTTCACTTTCACTAAAAAACTGTCCACAAAAAAGTATTAAAAAATTGTCTTAAAATTATTCAAAACTTCAAAAATCATTAAAAATTAAATTATTATTCCTACAAAGGATTAAATGCAGTGATTTAATACTGTCCAAATAGGAGTTAAGTCATAAAATATCTCAAAAACAATTCAATATGAAAATTAATCACAAAAAGGAGAATCCATTCACTGATTTAATTTAATGGTTTACTTTGGCCCAAAAATCTTCCTAGACCTTTAATATTCACACGCAGCACTTAGTTTTCAAGGGTTCCATGGAAATTTGAAATTAATTCAAATTACAATAAGGAGTAATGAGGCGCGAATAATTATCCACTTAAAGCTCGAAAATGGTTAACTGTGTTTGGTTCTTTCGGCACATCTTTAAATTAAAGACAAAATGCTCCAAAAATGTAATGTTGTTAAAGAGCAGGGACACTTTTTTAAAGTTTTTAAGATTAAACATTTCACTTTACCGAATCGAGTTGTATTACCGAAGGATTAGAGGGGAAATCTTGTCCGAAGCACGTTAATCGAATGAGCCAGCGGCCAGAACTGTTGGTCCTTTTATATAAAGCAGGACCCCAACTCGGAGCAATTCGTCCTGGCAGCCGAATCGTTTTGAGCCAATGGGAGGCCGGCAAATCGCTGGCCAACTGGCTTCGTCTTGGCGGAAAGTGAATCTGTAGGTTAGGCGAGCAAGGTTTTATGGCCTTACTTGTTGCTCTTCGGCCACATTTGAATGGTAATCGTTTGGAAACGCCGTCGCGTGCCTCCTGCAATTAATGTGTCTCTTTGGTGGACCTCGTGAAGACTGCTTTAAGAGGACATTGTCTTAATTTGCCCGGTGTTTAGTCAACCCGAATCTAAAATTGGTTATGAAACTGAAAGTGTTTAATGTGTTTACATATAATTGTCTAGAATTTAAAATAAGCAAAAAACACTGCAGACGAGTTTAGACTTTATGTATCAAAGCTTCATTTCATTTGTTTCTTCTTGTTATTATTTTACTTTCGCTGGTCAACTTAAATACCTCTTTTAAACGTTTTTTTTCACCAATGGGTTTAATTTTTTCCATTTAAAATTTTTTAAATTGGAGCCCGAGAGAGATTTTACGTGAAGCGTAAGGGCCTAACATAAATTAAAACTACTCTTTGAAGCAATTATGCATCACTCTCATTTACAACTCAGACTCCATTTTTAATACAAAACCAGTATAGGGATAAAAAATAACATTTTTAAAGCCACCCTATTTATTAGTTATTAAAAAAAAAAAATCATAAATGGTATACATTTTGCAATAATTTAAAATTTATTTACAACCAAATTCCCTATCAACTAAATTCATTTGCGCTGCAGACCGCCTCCAGGGCGGATGACACCGGCAGCTGCCTTTTTCACCTCATCGATTGCATATATCATGCGCTGCGGCTCAGTGAGAAACCATATCCATAGGAGCACGCTATAACGCCACAGTTTATCCCTCTCCTGAAGTGGACAAAAAAAGATTGTTTTGAGGCGATGGTGTTATGTTTCTACTAAAACGTGAACTTACAATGCGCCCGGCGACGTTTTCCAGGAAATCCGTGCGCAGGGATCGCACGGCCTCGTCAAGACGACTTTGTTGCTGGGTGATATTGTAAATGGCGCTTAAATACCGGACATTCTCAAACATAGGCTTCTCAATGGGAGAATCGTAGACAAAGGGACGCAATGTCTGACCCAGGCGCTTTCTATAAAATAAATTAGGAAGTTAATGAGTGACAAAAAGAAGGGAGATTTCAACTTACAATTCGGACAGATGATCCCTGGCAGTAACACAAGACTTCCTATTGAGCATGCTCTGAAAAGAGTACGAAAGCAGACGGCCGAACTTTTCGTACTCAAAAAGACAGGCCTTGGCCTCGGTAGCCTTAACATTCTGCCCAAGATGGGCTGACAACAGATTGGCAATCTCCTGGACAAACTGGGCACAAATACCCTGATGGCTGGCATTAATAGAGCGCATAGTCTGAATCCTCTGGCAGGTGGACTGGGCTTGGTTGCGCAGCTCCTCTGAAGTGTCCAGGCAGTTGCGCTTCTTGTCGCAATCCAGCTGAATCGCAATCCACAACAATTCCGCATTAGACAAGGCATCCGATATAATTTTGGTCAGCTTCTTATCGCTCTCGTGACGTTGCACAGCTCGCTCTAACTTCAGTTTGGTGTTCTCGTAGAGAACGAGCTCAATACGTCGCTGAGTATGTTGCTCAATGTGAATGGTAAGATCATTGAGGAGGGTATCGTGTATGTTGCTTAGCTGATGATCGTTGAGCAGCTGCAGTTCATTCATTTCTCGTGCCATATCGCCCAAGCTAAGGCAGGGAATCTGGCCGAGGTCCAGCTGGTCTATCAGAGCCTGCGTGGCCTTGGCTTTGGCCCTCGTCTTGATGTAGGATAGAGCATAATACTGGATGCTGCAAAGGTAAGAACAATTTGCACGCATTGCTTATGCCATTGGCTTTTGGAACTTACCCGAGTTGCAATTTGTCTAGCTTGCTCTTCTCACGTAAAAGGTCTGCCTCTGCGTTTTGGAACTCATCGTAGTCTTGGATCTTGAAGTTCTCCTTCACATATAGGGTAAAATATTGCATGAAAGAGTCGCACTTGTGGAAATACTGTTCCAGAGGAAGTTGGTGCATAAAGAGCGGCGGCATCTGCTGCGTTGTGAAGGCCTTCTTGGCCTCGCCGCTCAGTCGGCAGTTCTCCCGCTGCAGTTCTTCCAGTTGCCTGGCCTTGGACTGGCACTCGCTTATCAGATCCTTCTCCTTGATTTGCAGCTCAGAAATAGCGCATTCTACCTCGTTAAGGTGGTTGTTTATCGAGTGCTTTGTGTTTCTGCGCAGGGAATTTATGTATAAATGTATTAATTAATTAAGGTAAACCAATAATTAGAGATTAGGCTTAAGAAATTCTAAAAAATATTTAATTTCCTAAAACTATCTTGATCTATTTTCTGGAAATGTTTTCTAGTAAATGTTTGATTAAGAAAAGAATTTCTAAGCATTGAAATCGTGAAAGTAGAACTTTAAACAAAAATCTAGAGCTAGATCAGATTAGGTCTATATTGCAGGTTTAAGAGAATTGGGACTATAACCCCCTCCATAAGGTCAATTTATAAACATATAGAGAGTTAATATGATATTGGAGTAACTTGAGTGTGCAATTTTGGGCTTACATTAGTAGTTTAAAAGAACTTTAAATGCAACAAAAGTTTTGTGTACTAAATTATAGTTAGCTTGAGAAACGAATTGGAAGTCAGGAAGAAGGACACATAATTCATACTAGTTAGAATTCAGATCGCCATCTACAAATTCTAACTATACTTAACAAAAACAAACTAGCAACTTCCACTATTTTTAACTAAATATAACCGTGAAATTGGGCGAACAAAACCCATAGTTAGGAGGCAATTTCCTTACAACATGTCCTCCAGAAGCGTGGCATAATCCCTCGACGCCTCCTCGGTCGCCTCAATCCCCATATTCAAGTCGTCGACATCTTGCTGTTTGTAATTCAGGAGACCCGGACTCTCCGACTCGATCTGCGCCAGCTTCAGCTCCCGATCCGATTCACGTAGCCACTCGCCCCGCCGGAGCATCTCCTCCCGCTCCAGGACCTGTCGCTCCGTGAGGATATTTGCATCGGAGATGTTCCCTGACAGGAACTTGAAGAACTTTTCCATTTGCTCATCGTAGAGAATCCACTGGTTCGAGCTGTCCACGCCCAGCTTTTTAAAAAACTCCGAGTTCTGGAAATAAATCTCTTATTAATCGTAAATTAGTTAATTAAATTGTAATTGCACATACGCTGAGCAGATCCCCCATGTTTTCAAAATACAACAAAACAAGCTGATTGACTATCGATACTATCGATTCTTCTTAGCGTCGCTTTTAGTGATAATACTTTTGGGCAAAACTTTGGCGATGTTGGCCGTTAAGCCTAGTACTCGGTCGACGAAATCTGTTCGTCAGCTAGAATGAATGGAATAAAAACAAAAATTGTTTTTTAATTACTATTAAACTACTGAATTTTAAAACGTTTCCCAAAATTTTTTGCAATTGGAAATCGACCACATGATAAATTTGAAAGAAGTGAACTTAAAGTAACGGGTTTTCCTAATTGAATTGCTTGAAGGCTGAATGAAACAACATCAAATTTCAACAGTTCGGAAATCCTTACTTTATATTAACTAAATTATGATTGAACTTTGCGCTTTAAATGTTTTCAAATCACCAATTAAATTAAAAACAATCTCCTTCATTTGACATGTAGAATTGTGTTGCAGTGGAATCCGACTACTATCGCATAACTATCGATTTTTGTATAGAATGATATTTTCTCATCCTGAAACCAAAATACCACAACAGTTCAAAATACACCCTAACGCCATCTAAAATTTGATTCAGCAGCCCTGGTCCCGCTTTTGGACGCACTCTGTCTGGCAACCCTACACTGAATGACAAGTAATTTCTGTTCGTTTTGCAAAATAAACTTGTAAATTAGTATATTCGTTAACAATGGTAAGTAAGTGGGCCAGGCGACCGGTGTTGGTCCAAACAAGACCATCTGGCCCATGGCCTTCGAAGCATACTGAACGTGCTAATTTACGCACTCTGTTTATTTTGTTAGGCGCGCCGCTATGATTCCCGCACCACGATCTTCTCGCCGGAGGGCCGTTTGTACCAGGTGGAGTACGCCATGGAGGCCATTTCCCATGCCGGAACCTGCTTGGGCATCCTGGCCGAGGACGGCATCCTGTTGGCCGCAGAGTGCCGCAGCACAAACAAACTGCTGGACAGCGCCATTCCCTCGGAGAAGATCTACCGCCTGAATGAGTGAGTTGTGATTCTAGTTTCTGGAGTAGATAATGCGGAGGATTTTGTTTGGCCACCGAGATAGTATTCTTCTGATTATACTAATAGGTAGTAATTTTTGTATTAGTCTGCACAGACAGATTTACAAAAAGTGCATTTCTCTAATGAGATAGAACATCCAGATTGGAATTAATAGTTATATTTTAAATTAGTTATGTTCTTATTTCTACCGCCTAAAAAAGGCTAAGGCTAGTTATGGGGATTGGGGCCAAGGGCCAGTATACACCTATTTCTTTGATTGAACATTGATTATTGAAAGTGTTTTATAGTGATAGTACTTACACTATTTGGTGAACTTTGTTCGAGTCACAAGAATATGTTGGAACACCGGATCTTAAATTTGCTTCCACTTTGTTATAAACATTTTAATAAGATATGTTTACTAAAAATAACACATTAAATTAGTTTACTAGGTAATACAAATTATTTTCCACTTGTTTAAATATTTTTTTTCCATAGCCAAAGGAATTGAAATCCTCCATTAAACCGAAAAATCCTGAAATACTTGCTTATTTTGGAAGGTTAGTTCTTACGCCATCCAGAGGCAGTTCTTTTAAAGTGAAACAAATATTTCAGTCAGTTGGGGGTACCTGTATTACCCATATAAGTTTGACTATAACTATAATAATTCACAAATAGATTTCAAATTTGCACTTCTGTCCAAGCCTTTTAAACAATTAAGCTTTGTTTTGCACCTTTATTGTTTGAGCACTGAAAATGTGCAGGATATTTGGTTTTTAACTTGTAACTTTCGCATTGGTTTTTTTATATAAAATCCCGAAAAAGTTGTATTACTACTTCAAAACTTTACTACCGGTTGGTGTAAAATTAAGCAACAGTAAGACAGAAAGAACGACTGGCACTCGTTCTTGAATCTCTTCATATGAATATTGTACATTTATTACAGGGACTTTAAATTATCATTTAACATATCATTTAAACTTTAACTTCCTGGAGACCTACATATGGAACATATCTATATGTATTTTACCTCCATACAAACTTGTTTAAAAATGTACCACTGACCTAAACCCTGTTCATCCCTTAGGAACATGGTCTGCTCGGTGGCGGGCATCACTTCCGATGCCAACGTGCTGACCGCGGAGCTCCGTCTGATTGCCCAGCGTTACCAGTTCAGCTACGGCGAGGTGATTCCCTGCGAGCAGCTGGTTTCGCACCTGTGCGACATCAAACAGGCGTACACGCAGTACGGCGGAAAGCGTCCCTTTGGAGTGTCACTGCTTTATATGGGCTGGGACAACAAGTACGGCTACCAGCTGTACCAGTCCGATCCGAGTGGCAACTATGGCGGATGGAAGGCCACCTGCATTGGCAACAACTTCGGAGCAGCGATCTCCATGCTGAAACAGGAGCTGGCGGACAAGGAGAATGTTAAGCTGACGTTGGAGGATGCCAAGGATCTGGCCGTCAAGGTGCTCAGCATGACCCTGGACACCACAAAGCTGACCCCCGAAAAGGTGGAGATGGCCACGCTGCAGCGCGTGGACAACGCCACCGTTTATAGTGTTTTGGAAAAGACCGATGTTGAGAAGCTGATCGAGAAATACAACAAGGTGCAGGCGGAGGCTGAGGCTGCTAAAAAGGAGAAGCAGGCAAAGCAGCCGGCCAAGTAATCCCAAGGATGCATAATTATTGATTAAGGGTTTATCCTGATTTTTGTATTCGGAGAATGTGAAATAAAATTTCAAAAAAAACCACAATCATTCTGCCAATAGGGATGGCCATTCTCCCAATAGGGGTGGACGATCTATCGATAACCGCGGGCTGGCCATTCGCCCCGAAAAACAACTAAAAATGGCTAACCTCGGGCAGTCACTAAAAAAATACCGTACAAAACATTTTGAGAAAAATTCCGTCGCTTTTTATTTGCTGTTGCTGTTAAAAAAAAGATTCAATTATACTTGCTAAACTAACGGTTCATCGGTTTCTATGAAGGGCTTTCCTTGTAATTAGCGAGTAAAGTAATGCGGGTAAAACGCGTGGCGAAAACGAAGGATTGGAAAACATTTTTTCATGCGCGCGTGTGTGCGTGCGTGTGTGTGCCACAGAAAGTTGCAAGCAGCCTAGAGCTAAATAGGTTGTTAAATATTCCCTGTGCTCTCGCTTTATGCAATAACAAAATCTGCGAATTCCCCCATTAAGCGTAAAAATGTGAAAAAAAACCAATGGGAATTTCTCAATGTTGTGTCAATACAGCGAGAGCGACGTACGAAAAGCCAAAAGCAAAGGAGAGGAGAATGGAATAACACAAAAAAAGAGCTGAGCCACAGCAAAGAAGCAAAAGAAGAAACGCGAAGCAGGGGCTAAAAGAAAAATCGAAATAATAAAAAAAAACCCGCACCCGTGTGTGTGCGAGCGAGTGAGATTCTGTGCGCGTGTGTGTGTGAGTGAATGTGTGTGTGAGAGAGTGAAACGTATAAATAAAATTCAGCCAAATGCAGAAGCCAACAACAAAATGGATAACAAAACTACACAGTTGGATTTTAAATTACTGGTAATTAAATAATGTTTACCATTACCCCGTCTCCTTTTCCCCTTACCCATCATCATATTAAGTACACATACACTGGCAGCTGGTGTGTGTGTGCGTGAGCAGTCTACATTCCGTGTGACTGCGACTGTCTAATTGAGAGAGCAGCAAAACAACGTGTAATGCGTAGGCCAGGAAGAGAGCGGTAGCGAGAGCGCGATAGAAGAGGAGGAGGTGGAGGAACAGATAACAAATGAAGTACAGTGTGCACTGGCCGTATTTATTGTTGTTTTATAGTCGTTGTTATTGTTTATTGTTGTTGCTGTAATGTGAAAAGGTCGTTGTGATTAAAATAAAACTGAATTTAGTTTTGCCATTCAAATCGCGGTCTGCTCCCCTCCCAATTGGAACTGCGAAGCACCTGAAGTAAACAAAGAGACGCAGCTAATGAGTTTGAGCGGGAATAAGCGGTCCAATAACGAATTAAATCGAAAGAAAATGCAGTGTATTTTTTGGCGAGTGTAGCTGGCAGAAGAAGGGTGGTTCTCAAAAATTCCCTCTATTTCTGTTTGCTTTATTATTTTAAAAGCTCCGTTGATTTAGAGCCCCCACAATCGCTTCTTGCACAATTTCCACCCACCCACAAAAATACACATACACTCCGTGTCTGTGTGAACTTCCGCCGAGTCTTTTGCTCCATCCCGCCCACTCCCACTATCCCTATTCAAAGGCAAACCCATACCACTCCCATTTCCATTTACCTCCTCTTTCCTTCTGCGCCCTCTTTCTCCCCCTTTCTTTCCCCCTTTCGTTGAGTGCCACATAATGTTATTTTTGTTTTTTCTATTTGCCTCTAAAATGAATTGTAGCCCCCCTCCCTTTCCCTCTTTCCATTTTGACTCCCCACTTTTCGACCCATTTCATCACTGCTATTATTCACTTTTGTTTTGTTTTCCTTCGTTATTTTCGAGAAAATATTTATTTTTATTTTTATTAGTTTATAACAACATTTACATTTACTTTGGCCACACAAGCAAAGCGCACATTTACATAAATACTAAAACTACAAATACTACAAAATCCAACAGCAACAACAACAAATCTCAAATTGAGCCCCAAGAGCAAGAGTTTGATTGTATTTCTTGCTCTCCCTCCTGCTTTTTATGTGTGTGTGTGTTGTTGTTGTTTTATGGGGCGAAGTGGAAAGGAAGGTGAGAGAGGGAGGGTGAGTGAATGGGGAGTTCTCTTTTCCTCTTGCATGCATATAAATTCGAGGCATTTCATATGCAGGTGCGAGTGAGATAGGGCAATCGAGTACGAATGTACGAAGCAAAGCACAAGTGGAAGAAGAAGAATAGTAAACAGCACTGCACAGTGGAGCAAGTTTGTTGTTGTAATTAAGAGAGAAGAAAGTAGTCAATAAGATTTAAATTAACCGTTTTAGGTGTAGAAAATAATTAAAACTCACAGAGCAAAAAGCCATTTCAGTTTTCCCATTCTGTTTGAATTGGAACACTATTTGTGTTTTTTAATTAATTCTGCTTTGCAGTAATACAATTAAAGTTTTAATCGCTCTTAATTGACTTTACGACATGGATTGAGTGTGTTGTTTTTCCATCCCTTCCACTTGAAACTTGAATTGATTGCACTGTGTTTTGCTGTGCCAATTTCATTAATAAAACTCTGAAAAAATGGAAAGAGAGAGAGGGCGATGTAAATGCTATTTTTATTTGATTAGTACAACTATTTGGACGTTCATGTGTGTGTGAGTTCCACTTTGAGAGCTTTAATGTGTGTGCGAGGGAGATGGCAAGTACGAAATGTATAACATAAATTTTGCTAAAAATGCAGTCAACGTCATCTCCCCACCTCCCCGTCTCTAACAGTTCACCCATCTGAACACTATATATATGTGCTAGCGTTTGTGTGGATGTGCTCATGTGTACATAAGTATTTTGAAGATAGCTCTTTGGGTCTTTATGTGAGAAATGAACAGGTACATAACAATTGCAAACGAACTAAATATTTCTGTGCAGCAACTAAAGCGGAATAAATCAAGTCGAAAAATGCCCTTATCGAACAGCCCACACCCTGCATGGGATATTTCCCGAAAAAAACGAATCCAATCCAGACAAAATATCTTCAACTTGGGTATTTTTAGTTCTCATGTACACAGATCCGAGCATAAACGCACACAACGAAACACTCACTCGCACACCAACTAACATTTAATTAGAACACAAAAAATTCTAATTAAATATGGCATTTGCTTTTCTCTTGCATTGTACTTTTCTCAAGCGCTCTTTCCCACCTTTTCTATCCCGATTTTCTGCTCTCTCATTTTCTCTTGCCCCACAAACACACGAGTTAAGTTTATAAATGCTTACATGCCCATGTGCTCGTACTTGTATTAAGTTTGCGTTATCTGCAATCTAAATTTACAACAACTTTATTGACAAATAAAACGCACAGCCCCCAGCGTTGCCACATAGATAGAGTGGGGAAATTATATACATATGTAGTAACTGTCACTTAGCATACCAAATTCGAAATCTTTTGTCAAGAATTACCGTTTTGTTTATATTTCAAGTTGATTGATTTAAAGCAGTTTGACTAGGAGAAAGTATTTCGCTGTTGCTTTAATCGCTTTGTAGCCAGCCTAACCCCTCAAAATCAACTTCATAATTAATTAATTTTTTTCATTTCATTTCAAATATTTGATTCGATGTTATTTTGGTTATATTTTGTATATATAAAACAATTTCAAGGATAACTCTTAACTCGATCTAACACTAAATACTACGAGATATCCGATATCAGCAAATATTTACTATTTTGCCAAAACAAATGTTTGATAAGTAACTTTTTGATGTATAATATATCTATACATCAAAAAGTTACTTATCAAACATTTGTTTTGGCAAAATAGAAAATATATATGTATATATATAACACAAAAATAATATACAAAATAGAAGTTAGCTTCGGTACGCCGTAGTTTTTATACCCTCGCAGTATTGGTCATAATTTTATTTAGGCAGATGAGAATATAAAGATATACATAAGTTCCTTATTTTGATAAAAACTAATAATTTGTGTACCGTTGCAAAATATATTAATAATTTTGGAGTCATCAGGAGTTTGTAACGCCGTAGAGGAGAAATTTCCGACCCTATATATTATTCAGCAATAAAATACAAAATACATACCCTAATATATCGGTTGTCTTTCTGTTTCCATACCGCTTGCGGACTCAGTTAAATTAACTTAAGTTATCATATTAAATTAGATTTTTAAAATTCTTTTTCTTTTTTATTCCTTAGTCGACTAAATCGCTAAATAGTTGAAAACAGCTGACCAGCGTAAAAAAAACTTTATAACCAGCTCACTGAAGCAAATAATTAGAAACTGGATTATTTGGAAACTTAAACTTTATTTTATATTAAGATTCGACAAAAAAACATATCGACAAAATCAAAATCCTTGTGCTTAAAATATCTGAAAAGACCATAGTTTAACTTAATTATGACAAAAAGCGTTAAATCTTATTCTAAGGTATAAAAATACTATTTTGAAAGAGTACTATTGCGACAGCTATCAGATACAAAATATTATTCGAAAGATATATATTTTTGAATTACATAAAAACTAAACCAATGCCTTTTTAAGGTTATCCTTGTATTACATTTAATATCAGTCGTCAAAAAATTACAATAAATTATCTTATGATTTTTTAAAAATCTGAGAATAGTTCTTAACATTAATCTGTGAAAAGGTAGTGTGTTCAAAGGCGTTTAGAGCATTTCAGGGTTGCGACGTCGTTTACTTTTACTCCCCCTCTTCTCCTTCTTTCGCCACCCATTTCCCCCCTTTTTCTCTTCCTCTTGCACAGTGGGTGGATGGGTTAGGAGAGAAGAGAGGGAAGAGAGCAGCCCCACATTGTGTTTGTAACAACTACAAATCGCTGCAAATACACAAACACAGTCACACGCCGTACAAAACATACATATATACATAATAGCAACATTGTGGAATGGGAAAAAGTAGCACAAATTGTGCGCTGTTTTAATTTCTCTGCCTCTGCCTCTGCCTCCGCTGTTGCTGTTTTTGTTTTTCTTTTCTATTTTTCGCCATCTTCGCTCGCTGTTTCTCTGTGTGTGTTTGCGTTGTGCTAATCGCTTGCGCGGGCATCGCTGCTAGCGTCGCTGTCGCCGTGCTGTCTACGTTTCATTGAAGCGCGCGGTCCACCTCTCTCGATTCTCACTTTTTCCTCCTCCCCCACTCTCGTTCTAATTGCATTAAATTGTTTGGAAAATAATAATCAGTAATTGTGTTTGACGACAGTTATTTCTAAAAGCGTGTATGTGTGGTGTGTTTGCGAGAGAGTTCGGCCGCTTAATTGAAACAAATGACGATTCTAATTGGGCCTTTAGCGGGACTAACATATATCCCGTATTAAGGTGGCAACCCTACCAGTCATTCCCACCCGCTACATTCCGCAGTTTGTTGTTGTTTTTCCCGTGGAAATGGGCGGCTTGAAGCGGAAGTTGGTAATTTATTTTCCACTAGCGCAATAATTTAAGCACAGTGGGCTTAAAACAAAAAGTCAAAGAAGACAACCCAGTTTAGATAACCGTATATAGCACGCATAACTTGGAATGAATACTTTGTAGATTAACAAGAGAAAATAAATAGTTTGTCCAAACGCAGTTGCCGCACTTATATGGAGACGTCACATAGATTCGGAGTTGAAGCATTTGATATATTTATTATTTATAATATTTAATAATTATTTAATATTTATTATAATTATAAGTTTGTAAGAAAAAAAAATACAATAATACTACAAATTTTAATTATTATTCAAGATTAGTATATTATTAAATACATGCTTAAATCTGTTTTGAAGCTTTAAAAGTGATTAAAAATTTCCATCAACATAAAGGATCTTCCATTAAAATTCATCATGGCATTTCGCTGTAAATAAATAAAAACTATGTTAACGCGTGCAATAAATTTCTTAGAAAACCCAATTTGTAATATTAAAATCTTAATATATGATTTGGTTATTTTAATAATATGCTCCTAAAAGGCAGAACTATGATGGAATTTATTAAACAAATTTTATATTAAAAAAAAAGTAATGATTTTTGAATATAATGCGGACAACATTTTTTATGACATTAGGTGTTTCTTTTGTAATGGATAAAAAAGGAGTTGTGTGTACATCTATATGTGTGGGTTACGCACCAATGAATATATGTTTTTTTATACTTTTAGGGAAGGAATTTTTATTTATGTATGTTTATCAAAATAGGACGACTATATCCTTTTCTTTTCCTGGAAATAATGTCGACCAGCCAAAGTTTGTTAAAACTAAATTTGTATTTAAACTTCGCTACAAAACTTAGTTTTTAATATTTACTATATTTCAAACAATTGAACAAATTAAATAATTTCTAATGAATTTAATTATTTTTCAGGTGGATCAATCACTAAATCTACTGGATAGCCTCAACACGGCATTGCGGTGCGATGCTATTCAATTCTTGCTGCAGACGCTTAAATGCAAGTACCCGGAGGCCTGCGACCAAGTCGTCAGGAATCTGTTCAGTCACATAGCTACAGGCAATGACACCGGCGGGGCAGGAGGAGGAGTTGGCGAAAAGGCGCAGCAGCACGAGCTAGCGAGGACGAAGCAGCTCCAGCTGCTGCTGACCGCCAAGAAGGAGAAGAAGGAGCCTGGCTGCGAGGCGGAGATCAAGCGCGAGAACGATGATGAGGAGGCGGGATCGACGGATCTGAACCAGAACTTCGAGAAGATCCTCTGCAAGGAGGAGTTCCTATGCCTCGAGGAGGAGGAGGAGGACTTCCTCGACGATGCGGACACCCAGAACTCGTCTTCCCTGCAGTTCCATGCCGGCAACAATGTGGACGCCCTGGCCCTGGGCCCCGGCGATCCGCTGGACCTGATCCAGACCGGCGTTTCGCTGCTGGTCAAGCGGAAATATGCGGCCACCTTCTTGGACGAGGACCAGCTGGGCGAGGGCGAGGACGAGGAGGCGAACAGCAACAGCAGCGATGGGAAGCTGGTCAAGCGAAAGCGAACCAACAATATGCACCTGACCGTGACGAGTGTGCGACGGAAAGAGGAGCACAGCCGGCTGGGCGAGGGCTACGTCTTTCACGAGGACAGCCAGTACACGATGAGGTATCATCACAGTACCGGCGAGTTCAGCGAGCGGGCCTATAAGGCCCAGTTCCGGGCTCTGCTCCGCCTGGCACTCAGCCAGCACCATAAGCCTTTCCTCCGGCAGTTCTTCGAAAACTTTGTTGTGAACGGACGCTTGCTGGGTACTACGCCCTCAGCGCGGGTGCTGAAGGAGCTGCGCGAACAGCGGCTGGAGGAGTGGCGACGCCAGAGAGAACGTCGCCAGTTGGTCATCTTGATGAAGCAGAGCGAGCTGCTGCGGGATGAGGAGGTTCAGCAGCAGCCGCAGCAGAATCATGAGGAGATCCAGCAAGAACAGCAGCACCTGGAGGAGATTCAGCAGCAGCAGCAGCATCTGGAGGAGATCCAGCGGCAGCAGCAGCTGCCTGCCATCTCGTTTGGCGACTCCGAACTGGAGTCGGAAACGGAATCGCAGCTGTCATCGGCTGCCCAAGAGATTATGAAGTTCGAGGAGTTCATTGACGAGGGTGTAGGCGCGGGACGTCTGATCGATGGTCTGGAGATGGAACCCGAGATCGATGACATGCTGGCTGGCGCCGGCAGTGCCTTGGGCAGTGTGAACAGCGCCAGCGGACACAGCAGCAACAGCAGCAGCAGCGGTAGCGGGAGTGGCGGTAATGGGAATGGCATCAGCGGGGTGATCCTGGAGAACAATAGTCATCATTCGCATCACCTGTAAGTCTAATTTTTATCTAATTCTTCAGAAAAAATGTTTATTTTCCTAATATTCAGTTTACTCTTCATTGAGTTACTCGTTTCTCAAAATAATAACAGATGCCCAAAATATTTGAAAAATATGTACAACTTAGTTTTTTCAAAGTTTTATAATATAACAAAGTCTGTAAAAGGCATAATGAACTTCTCGTATCGAATGAAAACTATTACTGATATTTTTGTCCAAATTTTTAGTTTTTATTTAGTCTTTAAAATTTGGTGTATATTTAATGTTTAAGTTAAATTCTCAGAGTTATCACACTTTTTTTATGTTGGGAAATGGTAACATTTCCTTGTATTTCTGCATTACTTTCTCAATAGATGCCTATACTTTTTTCTGAGAAGTGTAAAACTATTCCTGGTTTAATAGACTTATTGCTTATCCTGTGGTTTCTTTATTCTCAGAAGTAGCAGCAGCAGCGCAAATCTTGTGATCAACGGCCTTACGTCAAGCAATAGCATCAGCAACAATAATAACAACAATAGCAACAATGGCAGTCTCCACCGCCCGCAACTGACGCTGCAGGCGCAGGATCAGTTGGTGGCGTCTATGAAACCATCTCTCCACTTGCCCATGTCCATGCCCTTGGAGAACAGGGACCCAAAGGGCGGGCAGCCTCATGGCAATCCCAACGTCATCATGCCGGGCGGCAGTTCTGTCCACGCCAGCGAGATTCAGATGCACCAGCAGCAAAAGCTCTACAACTCAAGCAATAATCCCCTATCAATGATGGGCGGCATGATGCAGCAACAGCAGCAGCATGTGGCCCTGCCACACCAACAGCGGCAGATGATGATGATGTCGGAGGATTTCCCACAACACGGGACCTCAATGATGGGCAGTCGTCAAATGCCAGCCCTGGCTGCCTTATCGAATTTGGGCGACACTCCCCCGTCAGCGGTCAACTGAACTCCTCCCTGGAGTTGGACGACAATGACCTGTCGCCGGACGAGGACGACGACGACTTGGACCACGACATGGACGAGATGGACGCGGCCAAGCAGCAATTGATCGACGGCGGCAGCAGCAGCAGCACCTCCCTGCAGGCGCCGCCCTCGCAGCACGGCAGCGGCAGTGGAGGCAGTGGGGGTCAGACACCTGGCAGCAAGAAGGACAAGCCCAGCTATAACTGCCTGCTGTGCCCCAAGTCGTATCGCAAGCGCAAGTCCTTGCTGGACCACTACAAGATGCATCCGGGTTTCTGCCACGACTGCGGTCAGCGAAATGGAAATACGCTGGAGGTAACTTGACAACTTAGATGCAGAAAAATCAGTAGTTAAAAAGCCATTTAATGCTTTAAAAGCCATTTTAAACAAAAATAACTTTATCAAGCTATAAGCAAATTTACTTATTAAAACTTGCATTATTAATTTGATACATTTTCAGGAAATAATACACCATAACCGGACCATGCATGTGAAGGAGTTTCCGTTCGTGTGCGAGACGTGCGGGGAGTCGTACTCACGCAAGCAGCAGTTCCACGCCCACGTGGAGTCGCACAACAAGAAGGAAATCAAAAGTGAGTCGCCGTGAATGTAAATTTCACCAAGTTCTCCGGCGGAGTTCCTTGGAATCAGCATCAGTCTTGCCTTAAACCTTTTGAACTGTCGACTAACCTCATTTATTTTGCAGCCTTTCCCTGCGGCGAGTGCGGGCTAAAGTTTCCGCAAAAGAAACTGCAGCAACACTTCGAGGAAACGGGCCACAAGGCCGATGGGGCCATCTGCGAGGTGTGCGGCGAGGAGTTTCAGTCGAAGAACGCCCTGTACCAACACATCATCCGCGTACACAAGCGCGACAACTTCTTCGAGTGCCACATTTGCCATAACCGCTTCACGCTGAAGGCCAACCTGGAGCGTCACGTGCAGCTGCACACCGAGATCAAAAGGCCCTACGTGTGCGACCTGTGCGGCTCGTCCTACTTCACATATCCCGCGCTCAAGGAGCACTACAGTAACGCCCACGTGGACGTATCCGAATGCAAGTGTACGCTGTGCGGCAAGCGCTTCGGATCGGCCAAGTCTCTCCAGCGGCATCTGCCGTCGCACTCGGAGGAAAGGCCGCACTGCTGCAACTACTGCGATCAGGTAGACCTTACATATATTTATATTTTTATTTAAAGGCTCTAGAATACTACATTTGGGGTAACATATATTTACATATATATTCTATAAATCTGCTTATGGAACGTAAAAGTAACCGTCAATTTAGAAACTTAATTTTTCAAACCATTGGACATTTTTTATTTTGACCAGTTTTAAAAACTTAAATTAGGGTAGAATTTAAAAAAAAACGCAAGTTTCAATTTTCATTCGTTATGTTAATAAATTTTAATATACAAATTAATCGAATCTTTCATCAATAGACGTCCATTTTGTATGGTATACAAGTTTTCACAATTTTGAAAACGAGCTTACTAAGCACCATTTCTTTGTTAATTTATTAAAAGAAAAATATTTAAAGAAAAACTACAATTACACACGCCTAATGATGTATATTGTTGCCCTTTCAGACGTTCAAGTGGAAAACGCATCTGGTGCGCCACAAGCAGACAATGCACGGAAACGAGCCGCCGCCTCCTAAGAAGGGAAAGCAGCGCTTTCCCAAAGCAAACGAAGAAGGTATGGACATGAAGAACTTCCTATGGACTTAAAAATAAATATATACTATTTTCTTTCCAGCCGAAATGGGTAGCTTGCCGGATATGCCAGGTCCTCCGCCTGTGAAAGCTACCAAAAAAGCAGTGACCAGTAAGGCGAAAGCGCAGGCAGCAGCCGCCGCCGCAGCAGTAGCATCCTCCCAGCAGCAACAGCAAAAGGGCGCCGCGGCCACGCCGACTCCGCCACCGCCAGTATCGACGACTCCGGGTTGCCTGCAGCAGGATCAGTTCAATGCGGCCATGGTCAGCAGCAACAGTTCGCAATCCTCCACGGCGTCCACGTCGCAGCATTCGGTGTCAACCAGCGAATCTCAGCAGAATTCCATGTACAATCAGAGCTTTAATGCGGAGAAACAGCAGCCAGGACAGCAGCAGCCTCAGAATGCTTTGCATCAGCAACATCCAACGCCGCCGCCGACACAACAACAACAGCAGCAGCCTCCTCCTCCACAGCCGAGAGTTGCACCCGGAGAGTTGCATCTGCAGCGCATGAATAGCTTCGGGCAGGATGGGCAATTTCACTTTGAGTCGAATCCGGCAGCTGGTGCCTATCAGCAGCATCAACTGATTAGCCATTATCAGCAACAACAGCAACAGCAACAGCCTCAGCAGCAGCAACAACAACAACATCATCTTGCCCAACAGCAGCAACACATGAGGAGTCACACGCCTCAGAGTCCACATCCTCCGCATCCCTCGCAACTGCAACAACAGCAGCCGCAGCAACACTTCAGCTCCCCTCACCACATGCCCCCGATGCACCATCAACACCAGCTGATGATGCAGCAGCAACATCGCCACAACCAGCGATCGCCGTTACATCATCATCCTGCGGCCCAACAATTGCAGCATCAACAACCATCGCATTCCCCACAGCATGCGAGACTGCAGTCGCCACAACCTGCTCCAGTACAACAACAACAACAACAGCAGCAACAGCAGCAGCAATTCTTGCAACAACAGGCAACCGACTCTTGGGGCAACATGAACTTTGGCAATCCACCCAACAACCAACAGGTTGAGCTCAAAGATAACAAATTCTATATAGTGGAATCGGCCGAGTTCCTAGGGCTTCCAATGAATGTACCGCCTTCTCCACAGCAGCAGCAACAAGCGGTAAGCAAACCCCAGCAGCAGCAGCCGCAACAACACCCTCAACCGCAGCAACCAGATCCAACCCTCGCTGGTGATCTGATGAGCTTCCAGCATATGTGGCCGGCGCCTGGGTTCAGCCAATCTCCAACAGCAGCAGCAACAACCACAACAACAACAGCAGCAGCAGCAGCAGCAGGCGGCGCAACAGCAGCAACAGGCCCAGGCTCAAGCGAATGCGAGTGATCCCCACAACTATAATAACATCGGCAGCATACTCACGAATCTCATTGACACAAATCCCGCGCCAATGGAGTACAATTTCGACTTGATGCAGCAGCAACAAACGACGTCGTCTCAGCAACAACAGGCGGCGCAGCAGCAACATCACGGCGCCGGTAGCTATGCAAGCGCTTTGATGCGCAGTGGAGGCAGCGTTTACGGAGGAGCCTATGACCAGCACCTGAGCGACCAGCTGGTCAGCGAGCAGCAGAAACAAAACAGCTTTCAACCCTACCACCCACATGGCCTGCAGCCGCAACAGCAGCAGCCATTGCATCCGCATCTGCTGCCACCGCCAGCTCCGCACAGCAATGTGTACGATCGCACGGGAGTTGGAGTCGGTGTGGGTGTCGGAGTAGGCGTTGGTGTGGGCTATTCCATGCTGGGAGACGATACGAAGAGTGTGCTGCCGCCCATGATGGGTGGCATGATGCAGCAAATGCCGCCGCATGGCCAGCAACCGGATCTAATCTACTACCCAGTGAAGAACGATTGACAGTCGAAGCATCATCAGCAGCAAGCACAGCAGCCGAACCACCATCACCACCATCGCTGGTGGACAGAGCCAGCCAAGAGAGGCGATGTTTTTCATTGAAGAAACAACCGAAAACAGGAAACGGAATACGGAACAAGTTCGCTTAGATTGTAAGTGTAGGGGGAGGGTGGATGTGTGGGACGCGAGGAGTTGTAGATAGGGCAATCCACATATTTTTTTGAAATTAAGAGCAATAACATAAAGATTAGAGCGGAAAGAGCTCAGAATTTCTAATCCGACCGGCGCTATGATACGTGTATAAAATGTAATCATTTACAAAATACATCAAATAAACAAGCATGTATACATAAATAAATTCAGACATATACATAGTAGCACCTAAGCAAAGCAAGAGCAAGAATTAAATTAAAACCTATAAATAATAAATATATATAAATTATATGAAACATATATATTAGTATAAGCAGCTAAAATAATGGCAGACCACAAGCAACTTTCGAACAAATTTTATGCTTATTTAACATTTACCATACGAGTTATAAATGCAACACTACACAAATACGTACGTTGATGTATAATCAAAACAATCCAACATTTATTCATACATATGATATCTATGTAAACCGCGAGAGACCCCTATATTGTAGATGATTGATTTGAGCTTGGGTCGGGTCATGCATCACAAACGGAAACAAAAGAAAACAAATGTACACGACGCTTTGAGCCCGGGCCTAGCGCCACACAAAGTTGTAACCATATCATGAGGCCTCTTCCCCGTATAATTAATTGTATTTTCGATAGTGCTTGTTATTTTCTATTTAGTTAACGAATTGATTATACTTATAAAGCCTTTCTGCTGAATACCGCCAGCCACACTTTTGTTAGATTAGTGCCTAAGTCTAGTTGATATCCCAATGTATACCCCGACATTTTGTGGCTTTTTACACCCAAACCTTGTATAGCTACTCTATAGCATTTCCGATTTTTTTGAGCTCCCCCATTCTACTTCCGATTTATTACATTTTGTTCGATGAATTTCCTTAAATTCAAGACAGGCCCAAACATTTAAGTTAATCACAGCGTTGTTCTTGTTTTACACATTATTCAAATTCAGCAACATAAGAATTTTAAATTTAAGTGAAAGTTTAAAACGTTAAATGTGTAAGCATACTTTTATGAACAAAACAAAAGCAAAAAAAATGAAACCAACAACAAACTTCACTAAAATTAGGTTTGTATTCTGGATACAAAAAAGAAGCAAAATGGCAATTAAAAAGAAAGAACACAATATAAATAAAATTTGTATATTTAATAAAAATAGCAAAATAAAAATAAACTTCTTTTAAAAAATTTACAAAGCCATCTTTGTCCTGCCCAGTTATCAGTTTATTAATAAACATTATTTAACAAACACTTAACACATTACATTAGTTAACGCCTCCCATTAAATTAACCACCCGATTCTTGTACCGCTTGGAAATATCCTTCTCGATGTGCGACTGCAGAGTGCGAGTCTGGGCAATCAATTCCTCCAGGACGGGATTTAGCTGCTGCCGCTCTTCCCGCAGCTCGATGGCCCTCTTCTTTAGAGCCTCCCGTGTGGACCTCAACTTCTCCACGGCCTTGGTCATTTGCTGCAGCTTGGCGGCCAGCAGATTGGCATATTTGGGTGAGTGCTTCAGCTGGAAGAGATGCCGCGTCTGCTCATCGGAGGTCTGCTGAATAATTTTCTCCACGGAGCTGAGAATCTTCCTGATGCTCTCCGCGTCGTGGGTAGCAATGTTGTCCATGAGGGAGAACATGATGTCGCTGGAAGTCTCCAACTGCTTGAGCTCATAGAGTCGCAGGCGCAGGAATGACTCCAGTTCAAAGATTTCATCCAGGAATCGGTCGCGATAGCTCGGCGAGTCCAGCAAAGTGTAGGCCTGATCGCCTGAAGCAAACAGAGTATTAACTAGGATTGGTAGCCCTTGAAATGCAGAACTCACCCTTGGCAGTGCCACCGTCCATGCCAGTGCCCTCCACCACGATTCCATACTCCTCCACGGGAATGTCAAAGTTGATTTCCACCGCATCGGTTGGAGCGCTCTCGATGCCCCAGTCGATGTTGCCGCCGTCGTTTTCCTGCAAGTCCCCACTGCCAAAGTCTCCGTAGTCGATAATCTCCGCAGAAACGGTCGAGGAGGTTCCGCCATTGTCGTCCGTTCCGAAGTCGATCTCAGTGGCAGCATTGTCATCCTTGCTGGCAATGTCCTCGCTGAGGTTCAGTCGGATGGGCGGCTCCTCGACGGCCAGGGGCGCTTCCTTGTGGATGTATTGGTAAACGGTGGTGTTGCCAAACTCGACCAAGTGGCTGAGGATGGGCAGCGCCTGCTTGTGGCCACTGACCTCGGCGTACAGATCGATGCCTGGCTGGATCTTTGAGATGTCGATCAGGGACTTGGTGTACAGCTCCGGCAAACCCGCCAGTACCTCCACGAACTCCGCGTGCAGGTTGTCCCCCTTGACGCCCAACTGTTCCAGCAGGGCAGCGTGCTCGGCCAGGAGCTGGCTTTCCGGCTTGTTCATGTCGTGGGCTCGCTTCTGGCTCTCGTCGGTCTGCTGCTCCAGCTTGGCCATTTGCTTGCGCACCCCGGGAATCTCGTAGTTCACATTCCGCACGAAGATCTGAGCCGTTTCGGCCAGGTAAGTGGCGTTCTTCTCGTACAGCCGGCTGATCTCCTGCCAGTCCTTCATGCGCTGGCTGCCGTAGGTGCCGAATACGCTTTTCGTGTCCTTTTCCGTCTGCTTCAAGATCTCAATGATCTCCTTGACGTGGTAGTAGTTGATATCTGCAAGGAGGAGATCAGGTTAGCTGGCAATTCCAGTGGGCCACAGGGAACCTACTCGTCCTGGCTAACAGCTTGATCAGCTGGTCATTGGAGGGCATGTCCTGCAGCGCGCTGCTGATCTTCTTGTGGATTTCCCGAACCTCCAGCTGTACATTCTTTGGCACGATTCTTCGGCTGATAAGCCAATCCTGCAGCTTCAGGGTGTGAATGTCGATCGGAATCTCGGACTCCTGCCGGGGTTCAAACAATATAATATAGTGAAAGCTTTACTAGTGGGTTATTAATAAAAAACTTACATTCATTTTTAGTCAATATTATGTTTGTCCACGCAGGCTGATTTGTTGTTACAGTCAGTGTGCCCAGATCACTGTTATAGTGTCAGTTAGTGCAGACGCAAACCATGAGTTATTTGTTTATTTCAAAGTGCGAACTTTAAGACATTTACACTATGGATTTTGAGTGCTCACTTCCTATGCTTTGCTTTTTGGTTTTGATTTTGCTTTTGATTTGTTTTTTTTAGATTTAGTTGTTATGTTTGGTTTTGATTTTCTTTTTGCTTTTGATTTGGTTTTCAGATTTAGTTGTAATGTTTGGTTTTGATTTTCTTTAGAAATTAGCTTTTGCCTTTGATTTTTTGGAAAATGTTATTTGTGTTAAAGAGACAGTTTAATTTAATTTAATTTCCCTTTAAATTGCAACGCCCAAAACATGTATTTACTTTAAGTCTTAAAAAATCGCTGTTTATGAAGTAAAATTGTTTCCAATTTTTGGGCATAGGAAGACACTCAAGATAATTACCAAAATGTCAAAAGATATTAACACTGCTGGATTTTCTTTAAGCGAACGAGTTAGATATCTACTCGTTCGCTTAAAGAAAAGAGACTTGGAAAAAAAGTCAAAGAAAAGCTGTGTTTCAAATAATTCCTATTAAATATATTTTGTTTTTAAACAAGGGTAAATCAAAAACTAAGCAATGGTTCCGCGGATCGACTTTCTTGAGCGTTCCTGGGCCTAAGCTGAATAGTCATTGGCAATAGCTGCGGCATCGGCATCTTCCCTGAACATCTGAGCCACTTGGGCGCTGGGCAGGACTTTTTGGGAGCTACCCGTCTTCGTCTTCCGCCAGATGTCCCACTCCACTGGATGCATTTTCTTCTTGTGAGAGTGCATGTTGGCGTTTGAGTTGAAGGTGCGGGGACAGAATGGACACTTGTAGAGTGGCTCGCCAGTGTGCTGTGCCATGTGCTCCTGAAAGGATCAATTATTTGAAATTAAGAAAACCTAAGCGATCAAAAGGTGCTATCCTACCTTAAGGCTAATGTCCTTCTTGAAGGTTTTGCCACACTGTTCGCAGGTGTAAATCACATTCGAGTGGGAATAGCGCTTGTGACCGATCAGCGCTCGGGAGTTCTTGCAGCTCTTGCCACACTCCGAGCAAATGAACAGTTTGCCCTCGTCGTTGTGGCGCCTCAAATGCTGCTTGAGATTGTCCTCGTCCTTCAGCCAGCTCTCGCAGTCCGGACGCGGACACTTGATGCGAGGCCCACTCTCCTCGAAGTGCAGGCGAACGTGCTTCTCGAAGACGGCCTTGTCCTTGATCTTCTTGCCGCACACATGGCAGATGTTGGCCGCCTTGCGATGCTGCATGCTGATGTGGACTTGCATGTGGTACTCTGTGGCGAAACTGTAGAAAGGAGTGCGAATTAGCATCTGAAACACTGAATGGCTGCAAATATGTACGCATTGTGTTTGGGGCACTGGGGGCAGATGAACTTGCGCTCGTTCACGGGCACATGAGAGCCCTTGTGCAGCTCGAGCAGATTGCGCCGTGAGAAGCGCTTGCCGCAGTCCTCGCACTGGAAGTCGCAGTCCTCGTCGGGTACATGATGTACCAGCCAGTGGGCACGCAGCACACTCGAATTGGCGAACACCTTGCCGCAATCCTTGCATCTGTCGAGAAAGATTAATGGGTATTATGAAAATCACCTTATAAAACAAGATACCCACTTGATGTATTCGGGATTCTCGTGCCGCCGGGCATGCTCCTGGATGAGACAGCGCTTGTTGAGCTTGCGGCCGCAGCACTTGATGTAAGGCCTCTCATCCGGATGCTTATCCTTGAAGTGCTCGCGGATTCCGTCAAAGTCCTCGGCCAGGAATATGCACAGCTCGCAGCCCATGACTATGTAGCGCTTGATCAGTTCCTCGTCTTCCTTGCAGAACGGTGGCAGTCGCTCCATCTTGAATATCCTCTTGGGTGGCCCCCGCTTGGCCACGACCTTGTCCTTGCCCTTCCTGCCCACGGCACCCGCCCTTTTCGTCTTGGCTGGCTTGGCCACCTCCCGTTTGCGCTTGCGTCCACTCCGTGTCACAATCAAGTCGTCGGTATCCTCATCCTCGTCGTCCTCGTAGTCCTCGTCATGATCATTGTTGGTGTCCTCAAAGGCGAAGTCCATTTCGGGGGACTGCCGCTCGGTTTTGATTCCCACCTTGCTGTCTTCCGGGGACAACGGCTGACTCAGATCCAGCTCGTCCAGCGGATTAACGTTCAGCTGGGCGCTCACATCGTTGTCCACGGCCAGCACGTCGGCCGGCATGAGCACCTCCTCCGGCCAGGAGGTGTTCACCATCTCCGGATCCTGCTTGAACTTCGAGGTGGTGGCGTAGATCACCTGCGCCTCCTGTATGGACACGTAGAACTGGTGGAACTCGGACACCTGCGTCCAGCAGACGTTGCAGATGACCTTGGATATCTCGTCGTTGGGCAGAACCTGCGGGGATTGGGGATCGAATAGGAGCATTCCGTGAAATTAATGGGTTGTAAGTGGGTGAGGGGCAGGCGGCTTACGCTCACCTCAAACCAGAAATGCTGGCGCAGCACCTCCGCCACCTTGTTCTCCGCCGAGTCCACATCGAAGATCTGTAGACACATCTGGGCGCCGCTCACTCCGCGCAAACACAGGCGGCAGATATCCATTTTGCATTTATTTGATAAAACTATATTTTTTTTAGTAATTTACATAGCGCTGGCGATGGGAGTTGTGCAACTATCGGCTGTATCGTGACGTATTCGACGAAAACGGTTATCCTAAAACCCCTGTAGTTACCTTGGTCACACTGGCACTTGCAGTTTGTAACTTGTATCTGCGAAAATGAGAATATTGACTTGGAAAAAATGAGTAAACCCGTGAATAAATCCAAGGAAACGGCTGCCGCATCGGCCAGCCTGAAGGTAAAGCTCTTCAAAATATCGGGGAAAGAGAGTTATTCACATTCCGTCCTTATTTGCAGAGGATTAGCGAAAAGAAGCTCGAGGCTTTTACGGTGGGCACGTTCTCAAAGCGACAATTGTCCAAGAAGGAGATCGAGGACCAGAAGAAAAAAGAGGATGCGGCGGCAGCGGCACATGTAAGTCAATATCGTGGACCCTTCCTGCTCAGGTAGTAATCAGATACGATTTTCAGGCCTTCAAAGAGTTTGTGGAGACCTTCCAAGAGGCACCCACCCCCTCTTCCAAAGTATGGGTCAAAGCCGGCACCTACGATGCAGGATCCAGACGGGAGGATAAGTCGGAGAAGGGCAAGCTCTACAAGCCCACATCCAAGCTGCTTGACAAGAGCTCCTCCGATAAGGTCGAGGAATATGCCAAAACTTTAGCCTCGGATCTTAAAAAGGATCCCGGTCCCCTGAAAAAGAAAAATCAGGAAAAGAAAAAAAGCAACTTGGAGCTGTTCAAGGAGGAACTGAGACAGTAAGTTATATTAGTATTCCCTCGAAAGTTTCTCTATTAAGTATTAAATGCTTTCAGAATCCAAGAGGAACGCGAGGAGCGTCACAAGTACAAGCACATGGCTGTCAGCCATGCCCCGCCAGCTCAGCAGCCGGCGGCAGCGACTGCTCCTGTGCCCAGCAGCAGTGCATCCACCACCTCCCAGGCTTCCAACAGCTCCAAGGAGTCGGGCTCCTTCGATACCGGTGATCCAAACACCACCAATCTTTACTTGGGCAACCTAAATCCCAAGATATCCGAGCAGCAGCTCATGGAAATATTCGGGCGATATGGTCCCCTGGCCAGCATCAAGATCATGTGGCCTCGCTCCGAAGAGGAAAAGCAGAGAGGACGCAATTGCGGCTTTGTGGCCTACATGAGCCGCAAGGATGCTGAAAGGGCGTTGAGGACACTAAACGGCCGCTACATCATGGGCTATGAGATGCGTCTGGGATGGGGTAATCTACGGCTTTCATATTCAAGAACTAACTTAAAAAGGCCTTTATACGCTTCATCCTAATTAATTCTTCAAAAGTCTTTTAAATATATCTTAAAAATGTCATATTTTTAGGTAAGACTGTGCCCATAATGAACACGCCCATATTTGCTCCGCAAGCCTTGCTGGAAATGACCCTTCCGCCGCCTCCATCTGGATTGCCCTTTAACGCCCAACCACCACCAAGTGAAGCTGATGTTTTACCGAAGAAAAACTACAAGGAGTTTAACCAGGAAGAGGACAAGGAAAACATGGAGAGGGTAAGAAAAATGTTTTTGCCGGCTAAAAGAAATATCAGATAAAAATTTTATTTTCCAGATACTTGCTAAATGCGTTGTAAAAGTACATATTCCTACAGAAAAGTATGTATTTCATTTAAACTTTTTACCTTATAGGAACTAATATATCTATATTATACTTACAGGGCTGTACTTAATGTTATTCATCGGATGATCGAGTTTGTTATACGCGAGGGTCCAATGTTTGAGGCCTTAATTATGATTCGTGAAATGGAAAATCCACTGTTTTCGTTTCTCTTTGACAACGAAAGTCCTGCTCACATATATTACCGATGGAAGCTGTTTTCCCTGCTGCAGGGAGACACTCCGAACGAGTGGAGGGAGGATGAGTTTCGTATGTTCAAAAACGGACCGGTTTGGCGACCTCCGATTGCCAACTTTTATACTCAGGGCATGCCGGATGAGCTGGTTGTGGATCCGGACGCTCCTGTGGTGCACAAAGGAGCCTTGTCCAACGCGTAAGTTCAGCGAAGAATATCATTCTGGGGACATATACTATACATTTCTTTATTTCCACAGGCAACGAGATAGACTTGAGGACCTGATTAGACAACTAACTCCGGAACGCGCCCGAATTGGTGATGCCATGATCTTCTGCATAGAACATGCAGATGCTGCTGATGAAATATGCGAATGTATTGCAGAGTCTCTCGTCAACTTGAATACACTGGCTTCAAAAAAGATAGCAAGATTGTATCTGATCTCAGATATATTGCATAATTGCACGGTTAAGGTAGCCAACGCTTCCTTCTTTCGCAAGTCGTAAGTTCTAAAGATCTGTTGAGACTAAACTTTGGAGTAACCATTTTTTGTTAGTGTGGAAAAGCAATTGGTAGATATCTTTGAAAATCTGCACAATTACTACCAGAACATTGAGAGTCGACTAAAAGCGGAGGGCTTCAAGTCCAGAGTTTGCAATGTAATTCGCACCTGGGAGGAATGGACAATCTATCCCAAAGAGTTTTTGGCTCAGCTGACAGCTAAATTCCTGGGCAAACCGGTTAGTTTGTTATTTTCATCATAAATTATAAATGTATTATATTTGCAATTCGTGTTTAGTACGTCATGCCAGTAAGTTCTTCACCTCAAGCTGAAGAAACGAGGTCTGATGAGGCCTTAGACGAAGATATTGACGGTGCTCCCCTCTCTGGAGAGGAGAAGGACGATGAAGACCTGGACGGGGTACCACTAGATGGAGCTGCATTACTCAAGAGCGCCTTGAAGCGGGCCTTGCCCGATCCGGATGCCGCTACACCAAAACGTGAAACGCCCAAGAGAGAGGAATACCTCGATGAAATCGATGGCGTACCTTGTAAGCCTCTACGATTAATTAAACCAACGATATAATAATACATAATCTCAAATTCCAGTAGATGAGGACCTTGACGGTATACCGCTCGAAAAAGAAACCAAGCCTGCTCCTAAAATGCCCGGATTCATTCCCTCTAAGTGGGAAACGGTTGACCCCCAGCAAGTAGAAGCGCAGGCGATCACTACCAGCAAGTGGGACACGCTCGATCCGCCAGATCCCCCCAAGTTTTTCAGCTCTGACGACGAAAGTGATGATGACAACTCGCAGAAGTTCAACGAAGAGAAGAGACAAAAATTAAGGGATATTGAACTAAAAGCAATTCAGTATCAGGACGAACTGGAGTCCGGAAAACGGCGCATTGAACCCGGCTGGACTGTTCCCCAGCAAGTAGAATATTTCAGAAAGCGATTGCTGAAACAGGTAAATCTGATTACATATAATAAGTTGCTTTAAAATCACTGAGTTTTTAAATTTAGGACTCAAGATCTGAATCTGCTGTGGACTCCCCTCTGAGCTACATGAACACCAAATCAAAGGGCTCTAAGGTTAGTGAAAGTCCAGCCCAGTACAGCAGCAGTTTGGGCAAACGGTCGCATTCACCCTACGCCGCTGCAGAACCCAAACGTCGGGACTACTCGCCGGATAACTCCCGCTCCTCAAAATCCTCTAAACGTAACCGGTCGCGCAGTCCTTCCGGATCACCGAAGCGGTATGCGGAGCGATCTTCTCGCAGTTCCCGCTACGAGAGCCCGGCCTCCACTTCGTCCCGCTCACGCAGTTCTCCAACATCCTTCGCTTCGCGGTCTTCCCGAAGGGAAGAGGCATCTCCTCCGAGACACCGCAGCGATAAGCACAAGCACAAGCATAGGCACTAATTAATGCACTTCAGACGATTCATATTTAATTAAACATGGATTCCACATAAAAACACTCGTCGTTTGCTTTAAATACACAGTATATATATTTTAAATCTAAATTGTCAGTTAGGATGTGGGGAAACACGCTTAGCACACGGCCCAGGAAGTTCGACTACGCTCTGCGAATTTGTCTAAGAACATGAATCTAAGCAGCTATTTTAAAATGATTACGATTTGTTAAGGAAAGCCGGCCAACCAACACCAGTCTTCGAACTGCCCGAGCCTAGCCGTAAAGGTAATGGTGATTATCATAGGGTGATTACATAGATGTGGCTTAAAAGTAGATGCGAACAGCCTCCTCGGCATTCTGCTCCACGGGGCAGTACGGGCACTTGAGTATGTGTCCATTGCTGAGCTTGTGCAGGGCATCGTTGGAGATGACATGGCCGCAGGTTAACTTCTTGGGCGGGTTATCCTCGGAGGTCTGCTGGCGCAGGATGGGGCAGGCGAAGATCGAATGGAATCGGAATTCCGGCTGGAGATCGATCTCGATGGGCAGTTCGTCGCAGCCGTTCCACATGCCCAGCACTTGGCGCGACTGCATGACCTGCTTGATGTTGAGCAGGGCGGGCAGGGCAGTGCATCCGGCGTTGACCACGACGGACAGGGCCGAGTTCTTGCTGATGCCCAGCAGCTGGCAGGCGTCCTTAAGGAAAATGAACGACAGCTCGGTCCACATTTCCTGGCCCAGAAAGTGCTTGTACGGCGAGTTCTCCAGTCCACTAGGCAGATAAATGAAGCTGGCCATTAGATTGGCTATCTCATGCTCGTAGCGCAAGGCGAACTTCTTGAAGTTCAGCCGGGCATAGCAGATGGCCTCGCGCTGCGACTCCAATCCGTAGGAGACCAGTTGCATGAAGCGCATGCGGTGCAGCCGGAACTCAATTAAAGAGTGGCGGTCGCTTAGCTGCTGCGAATACATCTTCGCCCACGTAAGGGCGTCGCTAAGATCCCGCTTCTGGATCTTTACCCACATGCCGTAGATGTCGGCGAACTCCCGCTCAGAGTCGAACACATCCTGGGCATGCTCCGCCGACATCTTGCACTCGCGGATCAGGGTGCGGGCCACGTCATCCATGCCCTGGCGGCAGTAGTGCTTGGCAATGGCCTTGTTAAGTAGCATCAGGTTCTCCTCGTCCTGCAGGACGTCCACGCGCATGGTGGATGTGAAATCGGCGCTGAAGTTGCGGTCAATTGCTTTGCCGATCTTCGAGATGGAGCCGTGCAGATCACGGTGCTCCGTGGACAGCTTTTGGACGCGTTCATTGCACCTGCCGATGGCCTTCCGGATGCTCTCCATCTGGCGATCGGTTAGCCGCTGTGGAGCCGTCGGCTCCGTCTCCACCTGCATACTCACCCCATCGCCCATGGGGTCGTCCTGCGACACCTGGGTGCTCGAGTTCAGAGTGGTCACCAGTTGCTCCGCCCTGCTGAGTACTTCGACCAGCTCGGACATCTGTGTGGCTATGTCCCCGATGTCCGCCGCCGCGTTCTCATGGAGCTGCTCCAACTTGGTAACCACGCGGGTCAGGTCCTTCTCCACCGACGAACAGGCCCACGACTCATTGTCCATTGTTAGCTCCAGTTTCGTGGGAGAAAGCCTAGAAACCAGCCACGCCAGGCGCACGTTTACTCTCGACGTTGAGTTTATTCGACTTTAAGCTTTCGATGCGGTGGTATTCTCGAAAGTCACGGCGATGTTCGGTGGCTCAGCGGAAAATGCGTATTTATAAATTGTTAATTTTATAACACAAAGGAGACGAAAACATTAGTGTGACCATATTAAATAGCGCGAAAATTCCAATTAAAGCAGTGCAATGATCTTTTTCCACTAGCCTATGAAACTCCTTGGCTTGTTTACATGGTTTAATTATCCTAAATGAAACTGCTAAGATTCAACTTTAATTAACTAATGATATTATAGTTATAACGAAAGCTTGTGGCTTTCTATTTATGATAATGCTATGATTTTTCATTTGAAAATTCCGAAATTCTTACAAATTGTTCTATTCTCTTTAAAAAACACTTTTTACGACCGGTTGTTTACTGAACCGGTAATCGGATAAAATATGTAACAGGCTTAACTTGTAACTGTTTTCTGAGTATCCTCTACTACAGTAATGTTGTTCAGTTTGTCACAATTTTATTATTGAAGAGCGGTGGAAATGCATTATTTGTTGCGACCGACTGGATAGTATCGATAACAACACAGTATCGACTGGCGGGCAGTGCTGCCCATCTCCCTTCGTCCGTCTGAAAAATCAATTTTTACTGCTGCTGCTTTCTTCGTGGCAAAGAAATTTATAACGACAAACAAACAGTTTGAAATTAGCCGTAATTAGATAAGAAAACGAATTTTGAAATTTAGTCAAATAACAATACTGGTAAATATATAATGTAAAAGTGTTTCGGAACTTGAGAAGAATGCCAAGGACATAGGGTGCGAAATCTCCACGCTTTGAATTTATAATTTTAAAAATAAGTGATGAGTCTTAAGACGAACGGCATTGAACCCAATTACAATGCCGTACCTCCAAAAATAAAAGCGTTAAGAGCACTTGCCGAAAATCAGAGGTTGCCAAGAAAATAAAAATAAAAATCCAGGTGCCCAAATAAAAAAAGCTACAATAGTGAAAATAGCAGAAGTGCACGTTTAAACAATTTTACTTTCGCCGTTTGCCAGTCAGTGCGTTTGAAAGCGAAATGGAAATTGTTGGGAAAACTCATTATACTTAGCAGTGGTTGTGTATGCGTGCGTGATAACAAGAGAGGAGAAGCTGCGAGTTGGAAATATCAAAACATGAAAATTTCGCATATGTACGTACAGTGGTGGTTAACACGTTAGCAGTGTTTTTGCTGATATTTACTGTTTTTGCTGATACTTATTTTTTTGTTGTATGCTTAATAATCTTAGTGCCCGTTAATGATAAACAAATTCAGTTAACTCATATAAGCCAAATACATTTATTTACCGATGCTAAAACTAAAAAAGTCAATTTACCCTTACTATGTATTTGAATCCCGAACAATGATGCAAGCCTGATAAATTGAGTTTAAATTACTTAATATTTTGGATAGCTTTTGGACATTACACTTGTACCCTTGCAACGAAAGAACAATTCGTTTTGATATATAAATGTATGAATCGCAAGAGTTACACTAGCAGGCTGAACTTATTAAAAATATTGTTAATCATATTGTCAGTTTTGATTTTTCTAATAATTGTAAAATTTAAAGTTATTTCTGCATTAAACCGAGTTCAACTCTTTATTTGACCAAAATGGCGACATCATAAAATTATTAATTACAAGCTTTCTATCTGATTGAATCTTTACTTACTGGGGTGCTAAAAAAATAAATTTTAACAGAATTTTGGAACGACAAAATTGTCTTCGAACTTATAGGGCAATTCTAAAATTATAAAGTTTTGACTGCGGCTGTATGTTTGGCGGACAGCTCTCGGAAATTCCCGGTGCAGGCCCAAGCTGCAAATCACTTTGTCGCACTCATTATACTGTCTGATCTAATATTGCCGCAAAAATAAAGGAAAATAATGTTCGAAGAAGATTATGAGGAAGAGAGCGCCCGACTAGCTTTCGTCGTGTCGGGGTCTTCTGAACTGATCTGCCGAAAATTGGCTAATAGTTTCAAAAATTTGCCTGCCAGTTCGGGAACAACATTCGAACTTTGCGTAAGCACTCGCTCTGTCCAGTTCCCAGGTCCCCTGCATCCAGGAAGCATTATCCAAAGCGAAATCAAAACGTTTTTTGGAGAAGCATTCAATATTATTTATGCGGTTATTAATTTGAAGAGCCCCTGTGATTTGTGTGCTAAGAAAAGTGAAAACAATAAAGAATTATTAGACGGGCCGAAAAGAGCGAATTGCGCGAGCTAAAAATAAAAAAGATCGGGACCGCTATTTATGTAATAAACTTTTTTGTTTTCCCGCAACAATATTTAAACGTATACAGCATTTTGCGCTGTGATTCGTGACCAGTGATGTGAACACAACTTTAACTAAGGGCCGAACCGGTCAACTGAAGCGTGTAACCAACCACATTATGCATCTATGTATCTTTCAGATAATGCTTTAAACGTACAGAAACCAACTAACCAACATGAGCCAATGTCAAAGTTAACCAAAAACTGGAAACACATCGCATAGTCAACAGCTCGCAGAGAGCCACCAACGAACCAATCAGGAATATATAAGGAGAGTTGCCTTAGGATCTAGCTTTAGCCACCACAAATAGCCAAACGAAACAGAACCGAGATTTTAACCGACCGCAAAATGCCCGCAACAGCCACGTCGAAGCAGCGACCTCCGGTCGTCGAGGAGGGATGACGCCCAAGAAGACCGCCCTGATCATCGTCACCGTGATCGGATGCGTCGCCATCCTGTGGCCGAAGGTCTTCCATCCCATGATGTTCGGAGGGGTTCCGCCGCCCAAGCAAACCGTCAAGGATCAGCGAGCATCCCCCGGCGGTGAGTTATCATATTTTATTTATTTTAGATTAAACTCTTATAGGCGAATCATCCAAAGGATCCACGATTTTATCAAGAGAATTTAAAAAATTAAATATAAAAAAACAGTGTTTAAAACCTTATAAAAAAACACTTTAGAAAAAAATAAATATATTTTAAAACTAACTTTTCATTATTTGTTCTTAAAGCTAAAAAACTAATTTGTAAAAACTAGTTTCCTTTATTTTTAGTATTACCAGCTTTTACTCATGTGTTCTTTCATTATTTTTCAAATACATTTATAATTTAATTTTTATTTTCGTGTGTGGGTTTTGTTTTTATGTGTGCGCTGTTGATGTTGTAGGATGTTGTGACGTCGTGCTTGACAGGGAGCAGTTCATGAATGTCTCGAAGAAGGACACTGTCGAGGAGCCCTTTGGTCCGCATTTGTACCGCAAACAAATCAATGTTTACACGGGCGAAATAAGTATGTGGCGCAACGTTGTTCTATTAATTTCTTTCACTAACCGTGTTCGGCTTTAAAATCA